TTGTCTAAAATCGATAAGAGTAGGCTTCGGCTGCCACCTGGGCAAAATTCAAAATTTCCTACCAACTTGAAATATTAGTTGTGTCCCGCGCGCTCATATGACCTTATGAAGTTGCGAGCGTCGTAAAACACTTTACAAAAACAAAACAAAAGCCAGTACGATCGAAATACTATCAATCTAGATTGTAGGACTACTGTTTAGAGTTGATGAACGCGCAGAAAAGTGCCTCAATAATGCGGTTTAGGGGGGAGGGGAGAGAGGGCGCGAGATGCAGGTGTGAGTGACACCATGACACAACTAGACATTATGTTCTGTGTAACCTCCCTTCCAGGGGCGGCTCGTGGGGCTAAAAAGTGGACGTCCACAATTAAGCTATCGCACGCTGAAGATAGCCAAGGGCATAGTAAATGAGACGGTGTTTAATTTTAGGATCTTTGGGTTGGTGTGGGAGGACCTCGTGCTTTTATTTTCATTCTTTTACTTGTCGCTTTGTTCTCTAGTACTAAATTTGTTTGTTAGCTAAATATCAATTTCGTTCATCCTGTATTGAAACTGAACACTCAAGTAATAACTTTCACCACTGAACTACAAAACCATTCAAAGGCACAACTTATAGGACCGCCACGTTCACCTCCCTCAAGTTAACGGTCACAGAGCCACTTAAAATAGTGGCAAGACAGACAATGAACCAATCACAATTCACTTGAGCAATCCAGCGAGGCTCACATAGCCTAATAAATTATAATAATATTATTAGCAATAGAATGAACAACGGGCGCACAGCAAACTCAAAGCCGGATATCAAGAGCATTGATGGGATGCCTATTCTGAGAGATGCTGCAAGCAAAGGGGAAGCCTTTCTTAAAAGATACATCACACAGACTGATCAGGGTGATGCTGAGACGAGGACAGAGGTAGATCTATGCTAGAGTTTGAAAGGAATCATGAGGGACGAGGGATATGACAACATCATCACAATAGATTTTGTCAAATCTATTCTAAAAACCAACAACAAAACAACACCAGGTCCAGATGGGATAGAGTACAAACACTTTAATGAGCTCAGTGGCGAGGAATTTGAAAAAATTGTGGATGACTACAACAGCAGCATCAGGACATCAACTGTACCAGAAGAGTGGCTGCACGGTTATTTAAAGCACTACCAAAACCTGAGAAGAATCACAAAGAACTCAACAGATACCGCGTTACCACAACGCAAAATGTGTATGGCAAAGTGCTAGAAAAATGCATAGCAAGAATACTCAAGAATGAGCTAGAGAACAACGGGAACCTACCTAAGGAGTTAGGGAGTTACAGACCGAGAAAGGAAACTTGGAACAACGCAGGAACGATGTATATGAAGGCTTTCGGAGAGGAGAAGAGACCGTGGCAATAGCATTAGATCTGGAAGATGCTTGCAATCATGTAAATTATGAGAGGCTAATGCGTGCTCTGCTAGACTGCGTCGTGAATCCGTGGATTGTTGGGTGGATTGCAGGGGCAATGCTAGAAAGAATAGTGGCATTGCGATGTGGTCAATGGATTTCAAGCCCACAGGTGATCAGACCAGGACTCCCACAGGGCTCACCCTTTCGCCCATACTCTTCAATGTCTACACTGCTCGTGTTGCAACGCTGAACAACGTTGGGCCAGGGAGAATACTAACATTAATTGCAGATGACATCTTGGCCTACAGGCAAGGACGGGATCGGCAGAAAATGACACATGAATTACAGCAAGAGGTTGAGAAAATCATGGAGTGGTCTGCTGAATCGACCGCAGTGATCAATCCTCAGAAGGTCACAGCACTTTGGTACTCTTTAAACAATCGAATAGTAAAGACAGATGTTCCAGAGCCGACGGTAAATGGACAGAATATTCAAAGACGTCTGAAGATGCGGTATCTGGTTTTCGATCACTGTCTATCCTTCAAAGATCACATAGATGGTGTTGTGGAAATGGAAAAGAAGGGCTTGAATGCAGTGAAGGTCATGCGGCTTCAGGAATGGAACAAAGGCTACTGCTTCTTATGTATCAGCAGCTAGTTTTGGCAGTAATCGATTATGGGCTCGGAGTATTGACCTTGACAAAAACCCTACTGGACAAGATAGATTGAATTCAAAATTAAGCCAAGCGCATCATACTAGGCTGGACCAGGGATACGCCAGTTATCTGTATGAGGTATGTACAGTGGAACTCGGATTCGACGAGCGGGCCTGACCTAAAATCTTGTTGAATCAGAGTGTTCGTTATAGCAAACATGAGGTTTTGTGTAGATAATTACAGGCACTGAGCAAGTAATGTATAAAGAGAAGTCACAAATAGTGCCTGAAATGCCCGCATATTACGAGCTGTTAAAAAAAAAAAAAGACCGATGCGTTCAAATGCATTCCTGTGTCATCTCGATTGTTTACCACAAAGTTGTGTTGCTGTGTAGATCCTAGCATAATGGCAACTTTTGATTTCATAGACAAGCGCACACTTCATTACGAAGATCTACGTCAAGACTTTGTTTTTTGTTTTTGAAAGTGTTTTACGGCGCTCGCAACTGCATAAAGTCATATGAGCGCGCGGGACACACCTAACATTTTCAGTTGGTAGGAAATTTTGAATTTTACCCGGGTGGCGGCCGAAGCCTGCTCTTATCGTTTTTAGACCACCAAGGGATCTTTAACGTGCGCAACTTGCACACGGGCCCTCCGAGATTTTTCGCCCTTGTCTGAGAAGGCTAGGGGTAGATCTTTCCTACCAGAAGATCAGGGGTGTGGCAGAAAGACAGCAGTAAGGAGGAACCAAGGAGTAGCAGTAGAAAGACTGCAGAAAGAGTCAGGAGCCCAGAGGAGGGGGCAAAGGATGTGAGGGGGTGGGGGCAGAAAGTGGAAATGAAAGCAGACAACAGAACATTGATAGAGAACAGGAAAGGAGGTGAAAGGAGGGGGCTCTCGTGGCCTAGAGGTTAAGGTGTTGGCCTCTCATTCAAAGGTCCCGGGTGCGAATCCGGGTAGCGAACGTCAAGACTAGTTTATCATTGTAATAATGGTCAGTTGCCGAGGGGGAAAAAGACTGTGACGCGTTTGTATCTGCGACGTTCAACGCCCGGATCGCTAGTGCGCCCCCTCCCTCCCCGACACACACACACACACACACACACACACACACACACACACACACACACACACACACACACACACACACACAGTCACATGTGTGCAGGCCGCCCATCCGACTCCGACACGCACCAGAGTAGACACGTGCGCGAGCCAACAACGCATGTGTTGGTATGAAAAAAAAGGCCGCTGATTGGTCGCATGCAATCGGCTAAGTGAATAATGGTTCACGATGCAGTTGCAATGGATGGTTTACGGGAATAGATAAAGTTCGTTCTAGGAGAAAAATGAGCGAAGCCACGTCTGCGGGGGCAGTTCACCCTGGAAGCGACCTCGTTGAATCCGAGCTCGCTGATTTAAGTGCTCGTTGAATCCGGGTTATTTTTAATGATTTTAAAGAAGAAAAAAAACGGGGAATCTATCTCATCTCGTTGAATCCGAGTTCCACTGTATTGGGCCCCATGTTAGTGGAAAACAGACACAAAGTGGCTCAGGTCAGGGTGAACATGAGGGTGGCGGCTGATAAGCAACACTCACTTCACGAAGCCATTAGAGCAATCAAGGGAAATCGCCTAAAACGATCCGAGGAGTTTTTTGGATGGCTGAGGCTGAAAACACCATCAAGGAAGTCTGCCCACTGGAAGATATAAAACAGGGTGAAGAATGGATAAATGATGAATAAGAGACAGCAGGAAGATTTTGGGAAGGGAGTGATTACGCTGAACAGAGCATGTAGAGGTGGCTGCAGGGGGCGACAGATGCTGAGATACGACAACTGGTTGAGGAAAACTCACGGCACGGAGATGTGGTTGTATACACGGATGGATCTGTTAAACAAGAAGAAAAATCTGGATGGGACTTCTCAGCAAGAGTGAGCGGCAGATTGGTGCAGGAACAGCTGAGAGCATACGATATGACAACATCTAGCATGAGAATGGAGATAGAGGCAATCACTCAGGCTCTCAAATGGGTCTCAACAACTCGACGAGCACATGTGATCTTTGTCACAGACTCTCAGAGCACTCTGTGGAAGATTGAGAGTGGTAACCTTAGAGCTGAATGGACAGAGCTCCTGAAGAAGACAACACTAAAAAAGATCACGTGGATCTTCACCCCGGGCCATGCTGGAGTCAAGGGCAATGAGCGGGCTGATGAGCTCGCTGAAAAAGCAAGACCTGAAGGGAAGCTGTGCCCTGACAAACCTGAAATTGTACGTTCAGTCAGGGAAAAACGAGAAAAAAACCCAAGAAGAGTCGGAATACCATCATCTTGAGCGACTTTGTGAGCTTGGAATCAGATGGGGCGCCTGCAGAAGTTCAAGACTTAGTGGGAGGAGCAGAAGGCTATGGAATCAACCATTGCTTGGAACCGTCAGCATCTATACACTTTGAGATGTGCCTCTTCATGGGAACGGAGCGCTTATGGGGATGCCCCTTGTGCAGTGATGTTGGTCCTTCACACAAGTAAGCACGAGCAATAGCGCACGGTCTATTGTGTTTATTTTTAGACTGCCTACTGCTGGCTATGTTTCGGCACTATTCGGCAGGAGTACATTTGAGATGTGCCATCTTATTCATATTAATGTACTGCAAAACTCGCTACGAGTGCTGTCATCGCTTGGGTTATCCCCGAGAGCGATTTATAGGTCAGGTTACACTGTTGAGTATACTTTTATGTTTATTAGCTAAAGTGCGTTGACTTTGGCATTGCATAGTAGATGTTTTACGGCGCTATAGACACAGAAATGAGTATGACAGTTATGGTGCCAATGAGGACCTTGTTTTGGTGTAATATTTGGCTAGTGTTTGTTTCTGGCTTCTTTAATTTTATTATTGTGGGTGTTTTACCTTATAGAACATTAAAAGATTTTGTTTGGCACTGCACGACCGTCTCTATGGACGAACCGCGCCTGCTCCATGCCTTCAGCCTGCCCATCATTTAGCTCGATTTGCACGTTCCATGTCCATAGGACAGGATACCGGATATATGTCACAGTGCGCAATCTAGGTTTTTTTGTGACAACGACCTGTTCGTTCACAGTTCATGCTGCACCGAATTTTCATCACGGATTACGGATCCTGAATCGGAAGTGAAAGCGAAACGTGTGAAAACCAAGCAGCAAAACCAAAAACAACTACAAAATGTGTCTTTGTCCAAATGATTCACACTTAAATAGAGAGTCTAAATGTGGGAGACACGACGTTTATGTGATTTGGCTGAGGGCACCGTTTCGTTCATTCGACTTTTGATTCTGCATAAAAGAAAGTGTCACTGGCCCCCAAGCCAGAATTTAGTGATCCCGTTTTCTAGGTTTCGCCCGTCCTAACTGGCATATTTGTAATTCGTAAATCAACAATGTTTAGCTCTTCTGTGGCTGTGGACTGGACACTACGCATGCAAAGAAATCTTCAAGCAAGGAAGGGCCTGTCACCTCGGCCTTCGTCTTGTGTTTTGGACTTGGCAGTTCTTGTTGGTCGATAGCTGTTGTTCTAGGCTTTGTACTAAGCCTGCCAATTACCCGAGACACCGATAAGACCTAGCCAAGATCGACTTGGTCTAGATTATCTAGATCTAAAATCTAGAACTTCTCCTGGTCCTGGCTAGCCAAGGAGGGCCTAGATCTAGCTAGGCTTTAGGCGTACACTGTTTAACTGTTTAGAACAAGGAGATCAAGATTCTAGGCCTAGATTTAGATCTAGAGAATAGACTAGATTCTAGATCTAAATCTACCCTTTTTTTTACGCAGGGCACATACAGTGAAGTTGGTTATCAATCAATAATGTTCAGAGGCATAGATCTACAGTACAGTACAGTGTAAAGATAGACTAGAGATCTAGTTTGTATTCTTTGTTAGATCTACAAATCTAGTGATTATACTACTAGAGTTCTAGTTCGCACAAACTTTAAAAAATGAAGATCACTTGTTGCCCAGGGTGTAATTCCAACTTCACGTCTGTGGTAGTTGTTCCGCAGTCCCGTGGTCGTCAGACTGTTTCGAAATGTCCTTTGATTTTGAGGTGTGGACACACTTTCTGTGAAGTTTGCATGATACAAAGCGCAAAGAAAAGAACGGATGTGGTTCAGAAAGAACAAGGCAGTTTAGTTGAAGTGGAATTCAAAGCAGAAATATCATGCCCTATATGCAAAAGACTAACATTGTTGCCCAGTGGAGTGAAAGACTTACCTAGGAACATTTACCTGACAGCTTGCATTAGCACAAATCACCATGCCAAGCTGGAAGAAAATCTCGGTCATTTTGTTCCCTTGCCAACAAAAAAACTGCTCCAGAAATCCATGTTAGATTCCATGAAAGACAATAAAAGTGACCTTAAATGCAACATGTGTGGGATAAAGAAAGCTTCTTGCGAGTGCAAAGAATGTGACAATGTATTATGCTCTGATTGTTTTAACATTGTACACAAGCTTTCAGCAGCAATAAAACATCATAAGCCAGTGGCAATCTTAAGAGAGGGTTCAAAGGAGAGAGAAACTTTGTGCGAAGAACACAAGAGACCTATAGAATATTTTTGTACAGAAGACAATGTCCCGATTTGTTCCAGATGTTATATAACTGGTGATCATAAACAGCATCCCATTGTCTCCTTTGAAGAAAAAAATAAGGATTTTGTTGATGAAATACAACAAGAACTACCAGTGGCAAATGCTGTTCTGACTTGTCTGAAGAAAGTTGACAAACAAATATTGTCAACCATGCCAGCTTTCAAGAGTGAGACCAAAGCTCTCATTGAAAAAGTAAATGCAAGCTTTGTGAATTTGCATGCTTTGCTTCAGGCCCGTGAAATGGAGATTATAGATTGCCTAACTGCAGCCTACTATAATGGACTTCATGAACTTGAAGAAAAGAGAGTTAAATTTGAGCATTGCAAGCTCAACTTGGAAATTTCTGTAAAACAAGCCAAGAAACTTACAGAAAACAGTGGTTTCGTTATGGATGCTGAAAACACCCTTGAAGGACTCCGTGGAGCCAAGAATATTCCATGTGTTCTAACTGATGAAGATCCTGTTGATGTTAAACGTTTACAGTGGCAAGAGAATGGTTCATCAGAACTGTTGTCTGCAATTTGCTCCTTTGGAAATATTATTGGAGAAATGAATGACAGGGTACAGTTCAAAACTGCTGAGGATGCTCAATTGCTACAGATGGTTCCAGATGATGACACAGATAGTGTTTCGTCTCGATCATCTGCCATTTCCAATAAAAGTGTCGTGAGAAGTGAAAGCATATTGTCAAGGGCTCTCAGCACAACCACCGATTACACTGAGGATGATGTAGAACTTGAAAGGGAAGACACTGATGGAGGTTCGTTGAAATCAAAAACAGTGGCAACTAAAGAAACAATTACTGAACCTATTGTGAAAGGCCCTCCTCAAAAAGTTGTTTTGTCGCACATAAACTCTCCAAACAGCTTCTATGTACAGCTAGTGAGTAACAGGAAAAAACTGGAAACTCTGTCACATAATATGAACGTTTGGTGCAGCAGTACTTCCTCAAGCAAGTACATCCCGTTGACTCTTGAAAGAAACATGTTGGTTTTAGCCAGGTACTCTGGAGACAAACAGTGGTACCGAGCAAGAGTTCTGAGCATTGAGGATCCATCAGATGACAAAGGGACAACTAAATTCAGGGTAATACTCTTTGTTATGTAATCCTGTTCGATGACAATGTTATATTATAATTAATGTCTTTCTCTTTACATCAATAAAAATGTTGCAGCAGCAATTCCTTAACGGTGAGATGTGGAAAAAAAAATAAGGGAGAAAATAATTTCAGTTTATTAATGAAAAGCATTTCTCAGTCTCCTGTAATTTTGTAAAATGTCTTAGTTGACGAAAGGCAAGTTTTTCTGTGCAAAATTCAAACTCACTGGGGTATGTTCAGAATATTAAAAATGTTATGTTTTGTCACAGAGCCAGGTCCTGAGTTTTGAAAAAGAGGTATTTGAAACCCTGATCAGTCTAAGAATGGTATTCATGATGCTTCCATTTTTTTTCCCTAGAGAATATAGAAGAGCTAGGTCGAGACGTATTTCAATTAATTAATAAAAATCCAAAGTTTTTCCATGTAGAGTTTTTAGCACACATGCGAGGGGGGGGGGGGTGTTGGCCGGTATAGTTGAAGACAGCGGACATGTCCTACTCGGTTGAACATGGTCTGTCTCTGCCGAGAAGCGTAAGTCCCACCTGATTGGCCAGGGTAACGACTGCACCTTGAGGCATTAAGTTCAAAAGTGGTGGCGTTTAGAATTTTGGTGTGTGTATGTTGGTGGATTGCTTCATTTTGCGGTGGTTTTTTGATGAGGGAAAGTCCGCGTTTGAGCCTCGGTACAGACAAAGATTTTTTCGCACCCTCCTGCCCACCCAGCAGTAATGGGTACCTGACTTCGCGTTTGGGAAGTAAAGGTGGTGTGGAAAGGGACTGGCCACCCTACCACAAAATCCTGAAAGCCCAGGAAGTTATCTCACTAACAAGGCAATCCCCAATGTCCGGATTGGATGCGGGAACAACTATACTTTTTACTTTATTTAGATAACATTTTGTAGTGGTTAAGAATTGATAAAAGTAAGTTGCAACAGCGAGTCACCATGTGACTAGATAGGACTATTTTAAGAAACTCGACAAACTAAAACCATCAAATCATCTTTAAAACGGCCATTGACAGCCCCAGGCCTCTGTAAATGCAAAGGGAAAATTATTCAAACCGATCCTTTTCCCAAGTTCTAAGCCTATATTATATGTATAAACTGGTAGACCTTCAACAAAACCAGTTATTAGACCGGTTCGGTGGTAGACATTCAACTCAAGAATAACATGGATATCTGGAATTTATCGAGGGATACGTGAACGGTATGTGCATCAGTTGTGCCAGAGAATCAAAGGAAGCAACAAAGATTGGGTCAGAACAGATTTTCATTTTTCGGCCATTGTTCTAGATCAGATAGGTAAGATCTATTTCTGCTGACTTGAATTTGAAATTTGAGAGAAATTGAAATTGACCAACTGAGAATGAGAATGAGAAACACGGTAAACAACGCTTTGTGGTTCGATCGGTGATGAGCCTGGCGGTACCAAGACAGTTTAATTGTAACGCGGGTCAGTGGTGAGCGATCTGTAGTCTGCACCAATTGAACGGTGCCTTTTCAAATTTTTCAAAATATAATTTGATAAATAAACATTTCTCAACAGTTATCAACAATGCGATGACGAAACAATCAAATAATGCAGCCCTACCCCACCTCTCCCTCCAGGCACACAGTCCTTTGCAAAGAGGGGTGGGGCAGCCGATTGTGTGATGCACAACCCTACCTCTCGCCCACTCCACACAAGCCTAGCTAGGCCTAGGACCAAGGCACGCTCAGAGGGCAGGCATGTTGAGCAGCACACAAAAAAATAGCACAGCCAGCTGCTTTCGTGGAGGGGGGGGGGGGGGGCTCCTCTAGAAAGTTACTGACGCAATCTATCAATGGTCCTTGAACCTTCTCCTTCATGCCAAACGTAACACTTCACGTCTTTGGTTACCAAATTTAAAAATATAATAGACAGCTAATTTGGTCCTGTTATGATATAGTGCAGCACATGCGTTCAACGCCATACTAATAAATCCGCTTGCACACTAGACATAATTTTGTCCCATCCACTGGGTTTTGTGCCAGCTTCATGTTAGATTCTTTCTCCTACCTTGCATACATCACAATCACATTGATCCTTCCGACATACACACAACAGGTTGCTCTTTTTGAATATCTTTCTAAAGTCGGCTGGGACAATGTGTGAGTCTTTCCGTTTTCTTTGGTACTCTCTTTAAAGACCCCTGAGGCTTTGAAAGTGCATTAGTCGATAGAGTTAGATTTGAGTCGAAGTTAACAAAGGCAGCACTTCGTTTTGATGTTACCCTCCAGTCTGTTTTGACAAAGGCCACAGTTGTGTGGGTCGTGTCACCTACGCGACAGGTGAACCCCTCAACAAGCCACTGGATCTGCGTGATTCAATCGTCCATACGCCACCGGGCTGCAAAACTGGTACTTGGGCGGTTTAATCATGTAGAAATTGGGGACTGGTGTGACATATAGGCGATTGATTTACTGAAGGACTGAAACTCTTTGCATTGGAGTAATCTTTCAAACTCGAGATTTCAACATAAGATGACTCAAAGGCTGTATTACATAAAGGGATCAAAATGTAATTTTTGAACATTTTGTCACTTAAGTGATTGAATCACGCGGCTAGCGATATATGTATTATTAGTATTATTAAGTATGTTAATGCCATAATATTTCACCGTCTTTCATTGTCGGTCAACTTACGAAGTATTGAAAATTATTCACCATTTTCTTCTTTCTAATTCCCAGGTCCGTGTCGTTTACATCGATTTTGGAAATGAGGAAGTTGTCGGATTGAAAGATGTGCGCACAATGCAAGATCGTTTCATGGACTTTCCAGAGTTCAAAGTTCATTGTGCTCTGTTTGACATGGCTCCCTTTGATGAAGACAGCTCCTGGGATGTGGAAGTCATCCATGAGTTTCAGAAATTGACCAATGAGAAGGTATGAAAGCTTCATAATTTATTGTTGCCTATTTCTTGTCCATTGACATTGAGGAAAAGGATGTTCAATCAGTGGCGTTAATTGTGTGCCAAATGACTTCCTCTGGCCTTTGAAGTTGAAGACCAATGAAAACAAAAGTGCTAAAAGTAAAGTATTTTTAAAACTTGTCTGACCGAACCCGAACGTCCTGATCCTTAACACTTTTCACCCACGCAGCGCGCAGAGTACGCAACACTTGTTCCCATGGACCAGGATATAGGTGCGACACACTCTATATCACACCGGTGCTGATCGGCGGCCTGTGGGGAAAAGGGACGACTTCTTACCGTTGCCCATCGGCGTCCCATGGGGGCAAAGTGTTAATGATCAATATTTTAACACAACTCCCTTGCTGGTGGGGGGCCCCGTAGTTTTACTATGGGGGAGCAAAGAATACACCTGCTGTGATACTGCGTGTCGTAAGAGGCGACTAAAAGTGCATAGGTCTGGTCGCCCGAAAGTGCCAGTTTGCGGAGGGCCAACTACCCAACCCAGTAAAAAACAGTAAGTTACAGAAACACGGACAAACACAGCTTTTTATTTTTCGATCTTGGGAGACGGAGGAGCTTCTGTATCAGCAGGAACAATGAAGGACAGTGGACAAAGCCGAGAGGACTCTTCTGACCCGAAACCTTCTCTGTCGAACAAGTCTCTCCGGATTGCGTCGTGGAATGTTCGCACCTTGCATGAAACAGGAAAGAGTTCTCAAGTAGTACAAGAGATGAAGAGATACAGGCTGCACATACTAGGAGTCAGCGAAACACACTGGATACAGTCTGGACAGAAGCAGCTCAGCTCGGGGGAACAAGTATTGTATTCAGGGAGGGAAGATAAGTACCATGCGGAGGGAGTGGAAATTATTTTGAGTAAGTATGCACAGAAGTCACTTAGAGGATGGGAACCACACGGGGAAAGGATCATCATGGCTTCATTCACTACAAGGAGCAAGAACATCAACATGAATATAGTACAGATCTACGCCCCAACAAATGATGCTTCAGATGAAGACAAGGATGCCTTTTACAGCCAGCTCCAGGGGTCATCGACAAACTACCAAGGAAGGATGTCAACGTCATAATGGGAGATGCCAATGCCAAGATTGGTCAGGACAACGTTGGGTATGAAAGAATTATGGGACAACATGGTTTGGGACAAATGAATGAGAACGGGGAGCGATTCGCAAATATATGTGCTTTCAACAGTTTTGTTATTGGAGGCTCTGTTTTTCCCCACAAGAGGATCCACAAGGCCACATGGGTTTCGCCAGATGGAGTGACGGAGAACCAGATAGATCATTTTTGTATCTCTCGTAAGTTCAGGCGTTTAATGGAAGATGTCAAAGTACAGAGAGGGGCAGATGTTGGATCGGATCATCATCTGCTGTTGGCAAAACTGAAGCTACGACTCAAAAAGCACGGAACCAGCACAGGAATCAAAAGAACCAAGTTCCAAGTAAGTCTCTTGGACGGACACAAGAAAGAAGAGTTTCAACTGCAGCTGAGGAACAGATTTCAACCTCTGGCTGATCTTGACGGGGAGGACACGGAGGTGGATACACACTGGACCAAGGTCAAAGAAGTCTTTACATCAACATGTCACGAAGTACTCGGTGGGAAGAAATGGGAGCACAAGGAATGGATTAGCCAACACTCATTGGATCTAATTAGGATAAGAAGACAACTGAAGGCAGAAGCGAATGCAAGTAGAACAAGAGGATACAAATCGGATGTATTGGAGCAGTACAGGACAACAGCTAAAGATGTCAAGAAATCAATAAGAAAAGACAAGGAGGAATTCATGAACAGGCTGGCTGAGAAGGCAAAGGAAGCAGCCATAGGAGGGCACATGCGAATCCTTTACCAGACCACAAGGACACCTGCTGGAAAATATGGGAAACCTGAAGTACCTGTTAAGGACCAAGACGGGAAAAGCATTTTTGGAAAGGAAGCTCAGTCTAAGCGATGGGTAGAGCATTTCAACAGTCTCCTGAACAGACCACCACCGAGTAACCCACCAAACATACTGCCAGCAAGAAATGAGTTACCTATCTGCTGTGATGCTCCATCAAAACAAGAGATTCTGGATGCCATTAAGAAGCTGAACAAAGGTAAAGCGGCCGGTCCTGACCAGATTCCACCTGAAGCCCTAAAAGCAGATGCCAATGTGACGGCAGACATCCTACTCCCACTGTTTACCAGGATCTGGAATGAGAGTAAGTTCCCAAAGGATTGGAAAGAAGGACACCTCGTGAAGCTTCCAAAAAAGGGGGATCTCAGCAACTGCAGCAACTATAGAGGGATCACTCTTCTTTCAATACCAGGTAAGGTCTTCAACAGAATCATTCTGGAAAGAATCAAGACAGGAACGGATCCAAGACTACGGGATGAACAGGCCGGTTTCCGGAAAAATCGCTCAACCACCGACCAAATTGCCACGCTGAGGATTATTGTGGAACAGTCCCTGGAGTGGAACTCCCAGCTGATTGTCAACTTCCTTGACTACGAGAAGGCCTTTGACAGTATAGACCGAGCGACACTATGGAAGATAATGAGACACCACGGAATCCCACAGAAGTTGGTGAACCTCATCAAAAGCATGTACGAAGGGACAAGTTGCAGGGTTGTACATGATGGCCAGCTCACGGACAGCTTTGACATCAAGACTGGAGTGAGACAGGGATGCTTACTATCACCGTTCCTCTTCATATTGGCAATCGACTGGCTGATGAAGGAAACCACCAGAGGACACAGAAATGGTATACAGTGGACACCATGAACACAGTTGGACGATCTGGATTTTGCAGACGACTTGGCGCTTCTGTCGCACACCCAGGAACAGATACAAGCAAAGACTTCAGTATTAAACAGCCTATCGGAGTCTGTTGGATTGAGGATCCACCCCGGAAAGTCAAAGGTACTAAGGACAGATGCACAACGAAAGGAGCAGGTCACAATAAAAGGAAAGGCCCTAGAAAACGTTGAATCCTTCTGTTATCTTGGGAGCATAATTGACAGAGAGGGAGGAACAGGTGCTGAAATAAAGTCCCGCATTGGAAAAGCACAGGCTGCTTTCATATCTTTGGATAGGATTTGGAAGACCAGAGAGATCTCACTTCGAACAAAGATGAGGATTTTCAATTCAAACGTGAAGTCGGTCCTGTTGTATGGATGTGAGGCATGGAACGCATCGCAGACTTGTATAAAGAGGATCCAGGTTTTCTTGAACAGGTGTCTAAGAAAGTTACTGAGGATCAGATGGACAGACAGGGTCACCAATGTGGAAGTGTTAAGGAAAACAAGACAGATCCCAGTCAGAGATGAGGTAGGAAGAAGGCGGTGGCGATGGATTGGACATACTCTCAGGAAGTCAGGCAGCTGCATAACAAAGAAAGTTTTGGATTGGAACCCACAGGGCAAGAGATCAAGGGGAAGACCTCGTGGAACTTGGAGAAGAATCACAGAAATCGATGTACAGAAAAGTGGGAAGACATGGAAAAACATCAAGAGGCTAGCCCAGGATAGAGAAAAGTGGGGGGTGTTTGTCTGTGGCCTATACCCTGGTGCAGGGTGAGAAAGGCAATGATGATTTTAACACAAGGAAACAAATAGAGTGGAGTCCGCTTAAATCAAAATCTGCGGGACATGCTGTATTTTGTTTGGTGTAGCCTTTAAAAAAACAAAGGTAACTCAAATAAAAATATAAAGAAAACTCTCTTTGTCTTTTAAAGAAACTGAACAAGGGTCCAAAAACTTTACTTTTGATTTTCTCAAACCAGCACTTTTCGGGATAGCCCGCTTGTGCTTAAAAGGGACGATTTATTGTTGGGTTTTCTTTGTATTCTTATGTTATTATATAATCACTTCAAGGTATAAGATCATTTACTGTTAGGCTTTCTTTGTATTCTTCATATATGTCATCAGATTGTTCACCTTTACTTATCCTGTTTGTGATGTAAAAAATTTTATCTGTTCATTTCCTGCATGCATGAACAGGTGAAAAGTTAGGGAGTGTAAGGCAGGAATAACAGGCCATGAATATTTCCAAAACAAAAAATACTAATAAAATTGATAAAATTATTTAAACTGGTGGTTTGTTCATAGATTTACCTAATTTTGAGGCAGTGGTTATGAATATATGGTGCTATATTTTTCATTGGATTTTCAGATTAGAAATTTTAAAAAGATCTCCTCCTGAGTCTATGGCTGATGAGTCACCACACAACCTGACTAATTTTTATTGCTTAACAAAGACAAAAAATACCTTACAAACTTATTAGTGATTTGATGCAAACCATTTTTTAATACTGTAAGACAAATTATCCAAAATTTAAAATAAACTAGTGCATTCTGTCGAAAAATGTTCTCAAAAAGGTTTTATTTTGGGGGGATGAAAGGCCTATAGTAGGCTATAGACATACTAAAATTGTGATTTGCTTAGTTCCCTTTACATTGTAACAAAAGCAAACGGAAGGTTCACACACCAACATTGTGCTGAATTTTTAACTTCTTTACCCGCAGGTCTTGATCATGAATGCTCTGGCAAGGAGTATAGATGCTCTGGAGGTGGATCTCACCTACATTCCCTCTGAGAATGTCTCCGATGACCTTTTTGTGTCTGTGAGAGATGTCCTCATTTTCTTAGAGTTGGCCCGCTTCAAGCATCATAGTGACCAAGCGAAGATCCAGTACAGTCTTCCATCATATTCTAAGGCCAAATTCATCCCAGTAAGTCAGGGCGTGTTATTATTGTAGAGATATGAAAAATGGAATTACATAATACTAAATGCTGTTTGACTGCTTTTATATTGAAATTAAATTGTACCTTGAAAACAGCCCTGCACTGTACTTGATATGTCTGACTTCTGAAATTATGACTGAATTGTTTCTGTGGTTTTATTTGCAGATAAACGTTTTCATTGAGTGGATAATTTTTTGGGTCAAATCTTTAATCTGAGCTGCTTGAAATCACTTTTAGGACTTGACGTGCTTTGTTTGGGATCTTTTATATATATATATATGGGCAAGGCTGTCCCAAAATCTAAACTAGCCAACAGATGTTTGTAACTTTATGCAACTACTTATATTCTTAGTACAACAAATGGCGTTAGTAAATTAGTTAATTTACAAGACTTGTAATCATGAGATTGTAGATTCGGGGATTTGAGGCTCAGCTCGGCCCGACATTGTGTCCTTGAGAAAGGCGTCTAACACGAACTTTCCCCACTTCACCTAGGTATGAATGGGTATGTTAGTGTTTTAGCGCCTGTAAAATGGCAGCTAACATTTTATGCTTCCTAGGAATGCTGTCGGTTCTACTGGGGTAATAATATAGAATATAAAGTGCACAGAGCCTATTGTTGATTGGGAATTTGCACTATACAAATACAATGTATTATTTATTGTTATTGTTATGATTATAATTATATTCTTAAGAGCTGGTCAGTGATTAGAATCAGTCCAGGGCAATTCTACTTATTGAATACATTATGAACATTAAATTAATGTACTTTGAATTTCAATAAAGCATTATTTAGTGGTCGGGCTTATTAGTTTTTGTTCACATTTTATGGTGGCCTTGTAAGTTTTCTTTGTTCTCATACTTATCATTGTTTCCCAAATTAGGCCACGGTGGTGAAAAGTGACTCCATTGTGGAAATTGATATCACTCAAGTGAAGTCACCTTGGGATTTTCACATGGTGGTCAGAGGAGAAGAAAATGACTACTATACTAGCATGATGGATCAGATGCAAAAACTCTACAAAGGAGATATGAACCAGATTTACCGCATGTACTACCCGAGATGTGGGGTGATGTGTGTGGCACAGTGGAAGAATGGAACATGGTATAGGGCTAAAGTCCTGGCTGCCCCTGTGAAGAGAAAGGTAATATACATACGAAAATGTTGTCCTTCTTGTTCGTGTCTTTAATTAGTCAGATGTGGGATTTACTGTTTGATGAGTTGTGAATTATAGTCTCTCCACAGCGTTGACTTGGTGAGCTGTTGTGCACAATAGAAATTCTCATTGTTTGTAACCCAAGATATATTGCGGAGTGAAAAGTTTGACAGTAAATTGTTCGTAGTCGTTGTTCACATTGCAAGGTTTTAGGAAAGCATCTTTTATTGTAATTACTGGCATAGAAAATTTATAAGTCTGGCATTGTGAAATGTAGTTTTTGGTTTAATCATTTTGATAGATATTTATACGTTCTTGTTTCAGGTTCGGGTTCAGCTGGTAGACATTGGAGAAATAATTACTGTACACTATGAGAAGCTGAGGAAAATCCACTCTGATTATGTCAAGCTGCCTGTTCAGGTATGTGTTCGAGGTGCTATTGGCGGCCTTTATTTGTCACCTGATGATGTCTTAGTTTGTGCCCTTCCAAGATACTAATTCTTCCCCTGTTCATAGATGTTTCAGCTCATCTCCTTTATTTTCCCTCAAGTTCAAAAAATTATTTTTCTCTGTCTACCATGTTTTGTGATTCATTTACTTTTAAGCTTGTCTCTCAAACTCACAAACTCAACCAGGCTTTAACGTGCTTGCAAGTAATGGCATAATCCTGAATTTGCCTAGAATTTAAAAATTTGTAGAAGCAGTGGGAGCTATTGAATTGAGGGCATCAGATAAGGCCTTGAATGGATATAATGTGTGTTAAGTAAATCTCAAGCATAAGAAAGACTGTTATTTGCCAGCACTGCAAAGAATAGCCAGAGGATGCCACCGAGTCTAAGATCAGTTTACTGCTTGAAGAGAACTAGCAACCTCATGGAGTGTCCTGATGGATCACTGCTGAAGGATTAATAGTCTGGTCAAGACTGAAGGTGCTTTTTAGTATTGCCTATTGTGTAGGGTCTGGAGGTTGGTTTTTTTTTTGTGTGTGTGTGTGGGTTTTTGGGGGTTTGTTGTTTTTTAAAAAAATACTTATTTAGAGAGACCTGTGATTCCATCTGACCTTCCTCTCATCCCAATTTAATCGGGATATCCCGATTTTTTGCCCCAAATTTCAAGCATCCCGATTTTTCTCAATTTCGATCGCGTGTACCCTGATTTTTTGTTGTTGCGTCCGTTTCTTAGGTAAAAAAAATATTGCAATCTCTTTTGTTTGGAAACACCGATCGGGCTTTTTATCGACAGGAAGATAAAATGTTATTTTCTGTAACATCAATGCCGGATCGAGTAGTTGACTCCCGCACGTTATTTCAACTAAAAAGGAAGTAGTATTGAGTTTGAATTCCGACTTGGATACTCTCAAGATCAACTTTTGCCTTTGTTACCCAGAATTCTCTGATGATGGCCTGATTACTGTAACAATTATTACATAGTCCTAAAAATAATCTATTCATTGTTCTGCCGTTACTTTAAAAACAAACTATGTCCGAATTCTGGTTAGTCGGGTTCGTCATCAGGACCTGTCAGTGGAACTTTCAAATGTTCGTTCGCATCACGTGACATGACCTCGTATGCGTTAGTTGCGCGTGTGTGGGGGACCGTTGGTTGTCGAAGTCAACAAAGTTCATTTACACCGGTCGCCTTGGTCGAAGTGTTTTTCGGGACTTAACTAGTGTGTGACGACCCGGGAGGGGGGGATGGGTTGGGTTTTTTTTAACACTTGGGTTTAAAGAGCGTGCTGTGATACGTGTACTAATTGAGGATGAAGGAATAAAAAACAAAATAAATGAACAACCTTGGCGTGATTTTTGTTTTGATTTTTTTTTTTGGGGGGGGGTGCCTTGAATAATAACGTTCGTGTTGTAGTAGTTTGAGATATCCTGGTGTTAGATGAATCGGTTCTCCGTGGCAGTGGTTGACCAGGACCTTCCATACCGATGGCGTATGTCAGTACTTCGGATTTGTTGGTTTAGGTCTAAAAGTCGGCTGACTACAGAAGGTGAAACTGCAAGTCTCTGAGCCTTCTCCCTCTAGAAAACACCATCTTGGAGCCAACTAATGGCCTTTCCATTGTCATGCGAATTCAACTTTCTTCTAGGCATTTTGTTTAACGGTTACATTTTCGACTCATTGCAAGGGCTTTTACAATCTTTGCATGGGTGTAGTGTTCACACAACGTAATGATTTGCCTTGTGAAATTTTTCTTTGCACATCTAATATGCAATGTAAGTCTTTTTTTATAATTTATAAACAAGCAAATTTTTCATGAACTTGCACTTTTTTAGAATGTGCCTTGTGTTCACATATCAAGCACAATATGTATTCAAAGTTGTTCAAAATACACATTTGTGAATTGGCTCCTCAAATATAGCAGGTATAATTTCTAAAGGTATAACATAAATTTAATAAATGTAGTATGAAAAAGGCATGCATACATTTAATGGTATTCCCTAACTTTTAAAAAAGAGTATTTCTGAAATATTCATTTTTCCTTCTTTTGCTGATTTTTAGGTATTATTGAATCCAGGGTTATTTGATGTGATCTATTTGATATCATCCCAAACTTTCTTTCATTTATAGGCAGTACCATGTACTCTCACGGATGTTTGTCCATTGGGTGGGGCTGACAGTGACTGGTGTGATGAAGTACGACAGTGGTGTCAGACTGTCATGTCAAACTCACGGGCTTCTGCTCGTGTAGTCAGGTAAGACGCTATGTGTTTCCATATATAGACTATGTATTTATTTGTAGAGAACTAATGTCTGGGGAGTGATATAAGATAAATGACTGCTGTTTGAGATGTGGAACTTGTTTATTTGAATTAATGTCGCTATACAAGTGCTGTTTGTTTTTATTCACATTTTAAAAGGTTGGAATGAAAGTTATTGACCTTTTGTGAGTGATAGGCATTTGTGCCTTTGCTAGCTTTGCTATGACATGAACTGACATTTGTTAACACTTTTTCTTCTGAGTTCTTATTTCTTATTTACACTTTGTAATTTCAGAATTATTATAATTTTTGCTGTTTGACTGAAGTGTACCTTGAATGTGTTTGTTCATCTTTGTGTTGTGGGTAAATAGGGGTATCTCGTATATATAACTGCTGTTTATGCTTTTTATTTGTGGCTAAAAAAATTAAAACAACTGTTTGTTATTTTTGAAAGTGAGGATTATGGATGTGTGTTATTATTTTGTGGATGTGGATACGGTGTTAGAGTCAGTGATGAATCAAGTCTGTGGGGGATTCTGCTTTTTGCATACAAGACTTGTAAAATGTTTAATGTGTTCATGGAAGTTTAAGAAGAAAAGTGATGTGAAATGTACAATAACACTTTTCTCTTATCACAGGTGGGCTTCTCCTGCAAAAATAGTGCTATGGCTGGGCCAGGAGACTGACCCACAAAAGGACAGTAGCATCAACTCACTTTTGGTGCTCGCTGGCTTAGCCCACAGCACTGGCCCCGCTTCCATTTCTGCAACCCTTGATTTAGGCACCAGCCTGCCTTTGCCAGTTGAAGATAATGTTCTGCAGAAGCCAAGACTGTCCTCTTCCTGCTCATCCTCTCGGAGCACAAACGCTTCTCCTGCTTCATCCCCACCAAAGAAGACTCTGGTAACAAAAGCTTCACCGACCCATACAAAGGAACTCAGCAGCCAAACAGGTAGTGACAGAAGCAGTAGACAGAACCTGGGAACAACGTCTCAAAAAAAAGCTGTAAAAACAAAGAAGCATTGTAAAAAAGGGAACAAAGGACTCGAGAAGAAACAATCTGCTACCAGTGACTCTCTCCAGGACAGGAAAGAGAAGTCTTCTTCTGAGGCGCTAGATATGAATAACAAGGACAAGATTCAGGAGGAAATTCATAAGGCCATGAGTCTTGTTGCAGGGGAGGAGTCACTGTCGCACAAACAGCCTATGTACATCCAGGTTGTGATGACATGTTTCAATTCACCATCTGACTTTTTTCTAAGGGTAAGTATCTGATATTGGGCAAAAATTTCACTGAACTTCACCTTTACCGGGACAGATATTAGATAACAGAAAGGAAAGGACTATAGACTATTGAATGGGGAACTGGATGAAAAAATCAAGTTACAAGTAAATATGAGTCGTTTGCTATATTTTAGGCATTTTTCTGATATTTGTTTTCTCCAGTATTAATCTATATTATAACAAAAGATGAGGTGTATTGTGGTTTGCCATCGATTGGGTCATTTGGCACAAAATCTGAAGGGCTGCTGCCTGACTTACATTCACTCTAATAGTATATCTCTTTCTTTTATGTTAACAGCAACAAAATGCCTGTAAAAATAGAAAACAACAGCCTTGGAAAAATGTATATTTGTTTGAGTTGTCTTTATGGTATGATTAATTCTTACAAGCTGAAGGTCAGTTCTCTGTTTTGTGGCGGCAAAGGCACTTGAAAATGCATCCATTAACATTTCATTATAGAAAAGATAGTTTTCAAAGCACAAGCATGTATTACTCACCAAAATGTTCAGAAATAAATGAAAATTTGATTTATGAAGATACTGTTTCAGTTCTAGCACAGACGCCGGTGAAATTTTAAGGATATTAAACATTAAAAGTTTGGTTTCCTTTTTGATACACATTGATAGAAGCTACCTTTTACAGCTGTGTGATGTTTTTGCTGGATAGCTCCTTACATTATATGTAGCTTTGCAGTTCAGGAAGACACAAATAAGTGATTATATTGATTCTTATTTTCATTGTGAGTGGGAGACATCTGTTCGCGTATTCTTGTTGGAAAAAGATGAGTTATGTGTTCTTGGATGGGTGGGGAAAAGATTCATACTTTTTCTTTTAGAGTGGAAGACTGAATCTTCCATTACAATTACTTAAATCTTTATTTTTTATATTGCCCTTAGAATTTGTTTTAATTGCATTTAAAGAAATGAGGGACACTTGTTTTTAATATTCTATCATATAAATGAATATCCAAGCTTCCTTTTTACTTCCAGTTTTCTCAGCTGATTATTTATTGACTTTCTGTTAGGACAAAGAAAAAGAAGAACAGGTGCAGAAACTGATGGCAGGCATTCAAAAGGCTTGCTTGACAGGAGAAGACTGTACTCAGGCTTGGAACTTGGAAGATTGCTGCGCTGTCAGGTACTGAAAACCAGTGGTTCATTTCTATGTCAGGCACGGAAGCTGTGAACTTTGTCTAAGCTTTAGCAGAGATGCCAACCAGTACGATTTTACGTATTTTAGTAAGATTTTTTGCCGAAAATATGCGAATACGACTTTTCATGAAAAAATACACATCCTGGAATGCGAAAAATACATGATTCAGCTTGGGCGAGTAAACCTAATTATCTCAAGTCCCATCTTTTGTCAAAATAGTATCAGTTTCACAGAACTGGAATATTTGAAAATCAAGTCCGATATAGTCAATAAGTTAATTTTTGCCGGTCGCGATCGTATTTCAGCTTTTCCCCGCCCGGAGAGTACGTTTCACTTTCACGCGAATAGGCAGCTATGGCGGCAGGCGGAAGGGTATGTGACACCAAGGCTCAATCGTGAAAATCAAGATCTACTTTCACTTTCGTTACCGCCGAGAAGTTTGCCAGCAGTTGTCTGATAACGCAACATTTGCAAGTCTGTGTTATTGAAATAAAATGTTCGCGTTTCATTGGATGGGTGATAGTAAATTATACCCGCAGTGTATGTTGTAGCTTTCTGTTCAAGACTGGCATATTTTCAGTGTCACTGCATCTTGCCCTACCACAGTTGTTACAACTCTCACGGTGCATGGGTCTACTTGAGCCATTCAAGTTATTGCTTTTCTCTGAGTTTGAGCAATAATTTGAGTCTTTCAGTTCATAATATGAATCGTGACACCCAGGCTGGTTCTTGATAGTCGAAATTCTTGTTGTAAGCCCTTCCGAACTCTCAAAGCAGGATTTATTTTTTATATATAATAATAGAGGAAAATATTATATAATAGACTGAAATACTTAAGTCAAACAAGACCCCAGTATGACATTGAACACTGACATGTTGTTGACTGGATACATGTATATTGTACGCGTGTGTGCTCCCTTTTTCGAGCTGGTGGGCAAGTAATTTTTTTTCAGGAAATATTGCTGGACACCCTGAACATTTTACTATTACTGGTTGGTCGGTCGGTCGGTCGTGGGGAATACACATTTTCCCCTGAAATTACACATTTTCATATTTCCCAATACTCATTTCGGTTTTCTGTGGTTGGCATCTCTGCTTTAGCATGTATTTCTTAGATTTTTAGTTTGGCTGAAATTGAGTATTTGTAGTAATGTGTCATTGTTATTGTTATTGAGCGGTTTCTATTGCAAAATCCCATTCAGTGCAAGGGAGGACACCACTTGTAGGTATTTCTCCTTTTCTTCCCTTTATTGTTTCTGTGTGTCAGTTTTACTTTTTCCCTTTTCTGAGTGAAATGACACAGTGCTAGTTGCTTTTGTTAAGCAAAGATCTATATTTCTCAATATGTAGAAAATCACAAAATTTTTAAAAAGTAGACTTTTTATATGTGGTAAGAAATATACTTGCAAAAGGCATTGTAGATATCTCAGGTCATACATAACTGAATGTGATTTAAAAAAAAAAAGATATCCTACTTTACTTGAAGAGCCTCATGGACCCAGTGAAATATTAAACACTTGGACTTGAGGTGCCTGTCATGAGACTTTGGGTTTAAAAGCCCCCATTAAAAACAATACCAACCCAAAAAAAAAAAAGCCAACCTCAACTTGGATTCAGATTTTAGATTTGATTGAAACTGAGGTCTGTGCAGAATGGCGCAATGAGGGGATGCCTTGAGTGTATACATGATTGAAGGCATACCTTGTAATTGTACGAAAAGGCACTCTTATCACTGCATGGGCGATTTAGTCTGTGTAAGCTTCCAGACTACAAGAGTTTCAGCAACCTACTCTCTCCCCCTGTTTTTCCAACTCTGACACGAGTACGTGATCTCTTTCGGGGTTTTTTTCCCCTCTACTTTAAAGCCCATGATCACTTTCAGTTTTTCCCCTCTACTTTGAGGCCCATCTATGATTTTTTTCCCTGTAATGGTTTTGTCATGCATGCGTTGTTTGTATTTGTGAATGCTGAAACCAAGACATATTTTTGGCAGTTGATTTTCTGGCCGGTCCACTCACCCAAACCAGGATCTTTCTTTTTTTCATAGCCCTATAGAGTGAGGGAATATATATATTTGTATATATACAGTATTATAGCCATCCTTGACAAATTTTCAAGTCAGCCTTGTAGTCACCTTGATGATTTGCTGTTGATCCTGATTTTTTTTTCCTCTGAGATTCTGATTTTTTTTATTTCATAGAGTGGCAGATCTGTACATTTCAACAGGCAGTAGTCTAGTTGGCAGTTTAAAGTTGTGTTCTAAAGATTGTATTTGGTTATCTTGCTTAAAAATTAAATAGAAATGGAGTAACATCTGATTGTTTTTATTTTGAAAAGTGACGGGTTTCACATCATGAGCCAGTCTTAAGATATTTACCGAAAATTCATATGCTTGTTCTATATCTCTGTTTACTGCACATAAATTGAAAGCTTCTAAATTGCATTCGTCTCATGTTTCACGAAAAAGAGTAAAGACCTAAAGCTATCCTATACAGACGACTTAACTTCTGTGAAATGTCTTGATGTTGATTACCTTATGTTAGAGTTTTAGTATAAAACACAGAAAGATATAACATATGGACTGAACTTGCCTGAAAATTGTTTTGATCTTAGGACAGCCAGTGACTTAAAATACCCACAGCTGTAATGCAACTCAATAGATATATTTACCTGTGAACATGCCAAAATTCTGTTCCAAACGTGATTTGTTCTTCAAACTCTGCATCAAAATCTTTGCAGTATCTCTCGGGCAGCTGAAAAGGTAAAATAATTAAGTTTAGGACAACCCCAGATTAATGCCATTTCGGTTCATGCATGTTCGCAATGCAATAACTTTTTTTTGGGGATCAAGAGGATTAAATGTCTACAGATAGTACCTTTATCGTTTTATTTTGTCCCAATATAGGGTAGGATTCATAACCTTACTTCCCAGTATACATAATGTAACTGTTTTTGTACTGCAATGTAAACTCTGCTTCTTGTTGTTCTGTTTTCTGTGTGAGGGAGGATATTGTTGCATGTAATAAATTCTTTCCCTACTTCACAGGAACCCTAAGGATGAGACGTGGTACCGAGGAACCTTAAAGAAGCTTCTAGAGCCCGATAGAGCAGTGGTGGAACTTGCTGACTTTGGCTCGCTCATTGAGGTCACTTCTTCCAAAGACTTACAAAGCCTTGCTGCAGAGTTTTGCAAGACTGAGAGCAATGCTGTCAGGTAATTTTGTTTACTGGTGTTTGTTACAGATGTTAATGTCCTATTCTGTGTGGTATATTCTAATCCTTCGAATGCTCAAATTTCATTTCCCTTCTGTGTATACTAATATTAAGATAAATTTGTCGTATATTCTTATTTTGATATTTGATGAAGCATATATAAGAGCATTCGTGACTTACAGCGCAACTGAAAGGAAATTTTGATTTGTCATTTTTTTCTGCCAGTTGACCTTTCTTGACCCATAGGAACGTTCTTATATTTTTAAAAACTACCTCTTTATCTTTAAAGACTTGCTTCTTAAGTGTAGTTTGAAACTGTATGTTCAAGAAAAAAAATGAAAAGGTCAGTCACTAGAAAAAGTGTATCCACATTGATATGTGAGGCAACGTGGTGGAATCAGGCTCTCGTCAAAATTATCAAGATAAAGAAACTAGCATTTTTTCCTCAGGTTTGTGAATTTTTATCAAACTTTTGTTTTTTTGGCTCAACACCTTTCATGCCCTTTAAAGAACTAATTTCTGTGTGGGTTTTTTCTGAAAAACGTTGATTAAAAGCACAAAAAATGTATATTTTCTGTTACCACCGACTCATAAGCTAAGGAAATAACTAATCTTTGGTGGCCATTTTCTCACTAATTTTACCTCTGAAAACAGGTAACCCCTTCATTTGCAAATATCTCAACTTGTATTCAAGATAAATGGATATTTTTTTCATCCAAAAAAAGACAAGCGAACAAGCTATAAGATGATACCAATAACTCTACATGCCCAAAAATTGACGACAGCCTGATTCCATCACGCTGCCTCACATATGTGTAACTTGAGCTCCTGCCTGACTAATTCCTGACTTTAAAAAAAAGATTCACACCATCCACCAGTCATCAAGATTGATATTCTATGTTTTCTTTATTTGATCCTTGGTTTTCCTTATATCATTTAACAATGCGATGATGGTGTCCTTTATCTACCTGTCAGGTGTTACTTGGGGGATCTCATCCCAGCTGGGACCACAGACAAGCAACGGTGGTCAAGTACTGCAATAGATTTTATGGCAGGGCAGATCTTTGAAAAGTAAGCTTTAGGGTTGGGTTTTTTTCTATTAACAAAGGTGTAGAAAAGTAAGCTTTAGGGTAAAAAAAAATTTTTTTTAATAACAAAGGTGTAGCATGTGTTGATGTGCTATAACCCATCCAGTGTGTTTGAGGGGTTATGATGCTTTAGCCCATGCTTTTCCCTTGGAGATTTTGGCACTCACATGCACACTCATATATACATACATGCAAACACATGCACACGCACATGCATGCACGCGCACTCTCTCACACAGATACACACACACACACACACACACACACACACACACACACATGTTGGTATGTTTATTCACGTTCCACTTAGCTTGTTATTTATTAATAGTAGTTGTGGCAACCGAAATAGTGTCCCAAACAGGCTTCAAAGCTATCGCGGCTGACCTCTCTACCAGTGTTTAAAAAAACTAGGCCTTTATATGGGTGGACTTCATTGTGATAACAATTTTGTGTGTGTAATATATGTTAATCTTGGAGCTTGGACAATAGAAGGGAACGTGCTTCGTGATAAGTATTGCTAGAATCTGCTGACCAAAGCCAAAGTTTCAACACTTGGAACAGAATGGCCCACCATGACTACTTGAGTCGACAATTTTAGAAAAAGATACACCATATGGAAAAATTCATGCATATTTATTCAACTATATGTGTATCAAACATTCACACATTCCATCACGTAGGTGTCCGTTGAATTCACAAATTATTTTTGCGTGTTGTCAGAAATAAGTAGGCTTGTATGTAAGAATTAGAAACTGCTGTTTTATTTCCCTATATATATTTTTAAAAAAATTAAAATCTCAAACCTTTTCTTCAGGAGGTTTATTTTTAGCAAAGGATCATGCCTGTAACAAATATTGAGTGTCATTTGCTTGTTTAACTATTTCCTGATTGGGTGCCAAGTTTTGGTTAATGTTTTTTTTCTTTCAGTTTGAAAGTCAGGTAAAACAATTGGACAGTGACTGCTGGGGTTTTTTCTTCTAGAAGAAAAGGGAAAGTGTGAATGGAGGGGACTGTTTGACTGAATGTGTTATTCAGCTCATTTCTAAACGCTATGGAATTGTTACATCATCTTCTGGCCGATCCTGTTTGGTAAATAGTTTTTTTCATAAAGTCTGGGCTTGAGTAAAGTTTGTGTGTGAGTTCTGAACAGAGATCTGTGGTTGCTTTATCAATGACGGAAAAAGGTACCACTTACAACTGAAATATTTTCAGGAACCTTTATGTGAAACAAATGGACGACGCAAGTGAGGAAGGTGTGCCTGTTGACATAATTGTGGAAGAGGTGATTCCAGAGACAGCCTTTGAGCCAGCCAGTCGCAATTACCATTCTTTGCGTCAATACATTCTCGATGAAGGCCTAGCCATGCCGAACAAACGCATGTCTTCAGAGACTGGGGAAAAAGTGGAGAATAGATTCATGAAAAGAATGTTTGGCCAGGTAAACAGGTTTTGCCATAAAGTGGAATTATGACTTCTTTACTTTCATTGCTTTACCTGTGTAAAGAAAACGTTGTTTATAGTAAATCTGATTTTATTGTTAATAAGTTTTTAAAAAACCCAGAAAAACATTCATTTTTACGAATATATACTTAAAAAATATGATTTTAAACCGATTTGTAAGAATGACAGCTTTAGTAGTAGCATGACCTCCTGGTTATCATTTGAAATACGAACAAACTCTTGTCAGAGCTTGAAAATTCTGAGCGAGAGAACAGATGTTTTTCTGAATTTGTTTAATGGATTGTTCTTTTGCACTAACATTTTCACAGGAATGCGACAGCTCGAATAAAGCGGAGGATGAGAATAAAGAAAATGAGAGCAGTCCTGATGTTCAGTCCTCTCTGCCTTCTCATGCGTCTGTTCACTCTGATGCTGAGAGTGAGGATCAGGTGAGATATGCTGTACCTGTATTGATTTCTGATTCTTTATGGTGTTAACAGTTAAAGAAATGTAAAGATAGATCAGTTGACTTGGAACCTGAGTGTGATATTTTTTTTTCTCTTGTGCTTGAAATTAGCGGGAAAAGAGTTAGTATTTCAAGTAAAAGAATAACATGGCAAAGAAAAAATGTAATTGCATTTTACTGGTATTGCCCTTTTTACTGTAGAGCTTTATACTGGCCCAAAACATGATTCTTGAGTGTGGAGGTTGTTTTTAATAAAAATCTGTCCACTGGATTGTTGTGTCTTTCTCAGTCTGGGTTGGCCCTGACAGGTTAGAACGAATCTGCCTGCCTGTAAATGGCCAAAATGTGTTGATGGGGGTAGAAAAACATTTCAATTACTTGTGCTCTACAAGCAACCACCTCTGTGGCTGTAAAATAATGTTTTTTAAAACGAGAACCGGGGTTCTTAAAATTAATATGCTGTTTGTGGATAATATATGCTGCCTTAAACCTTTGAAAGCATTTATGTAACGATTAGTTTTAGATAAAAATGTAGATTGAGGCAACGATTTCTTGCAGTTGAATCAGAGGTTTTGTTGTATGAAAAATTGGTCTTTGATCCCCCAGCTGGTTATGTAGCTTTCCTTTGTTTCATTTCTCAATGGCGGCTTGCACATTTGTCAAAATTTTGTGCGTCTTATTCTTAGTTTTGCGATTACAGATTGATCTCCTCTGTTATCTATAAGAATAAAGTCAAGAACTACACCTCCAGTCTGTGGGAGACCCATTGGAGTAAACAAATAAACAGTAAACTTCACAATGTCATGCCCAAACTGGGCTCATAAAATTTACAGGCTTCTCCAGAAGAGTTGAAGTTATTTTTACTTGGTTGCAAATCGGTCACACCCCCCTGGCACATAAATACCTCCTGCAGGGAGATGAGAAACCATTCTGTGTCGGATGCAACTCAGATTTCACCATTAGACACATCTTAACCGAATGTCCAGACTTTGGAGAGACCCAAAGGAAGAATTTTAACTCCGTCGTTGATCTCAACAGAATTCTCGATTTTATCACTGGTATTGACAATAAATTGTAAATACATAATATGTAAATTTTCATTTTTAGATTAAGATTTCAGCCATGAATATTTGACATTTTAATCTGATAACTGACCAAAATTAAGCCGTGCTGTGAACTGTTGTGAATGCATCCAGCTTGTGTTTCGCGCGCTCTCATGACCTTATGCGGTTGAGAATGCTGTAAAACTCTTACTAAAACTAACTCTGTAATCTTGAAAAAGTTAATGTATTCTGACCCTCTGAAACATCCCCTTTGTCCATTAAAATGTTAGATCTTTTCGAGTCCGAAGACATGTCTTTTGTATCCTTTTGCATGCTTGGAGGTTTTGGGACCTAGAAAAAAGTGTTTACGTGTTCTTGTTATCTGATTTTAGGTGATGTCTCTGGAAGTGCCTAAGTCAGTTTGCCTACCAGAACTCCCTGAGGTGGAAGTGGGCAGTGAGATGACAGTAATCCCCACTTTTGTGGGAGATGACGGGGTCATTTATGCTCAGCCTGTGGTGTGGGAAGGCCAGATTGAACACATGTCGCAAGAACTGCAGCGAATTTATGAGGTAGTCTGAGTATAGGAAAGTCAACTTTTTTTTTTTTTAGTTCATTTTTCTATAGAAGCAAGCAGACAAAAAATTGAAACTTACGTGGTCTGAATATAGAAAATATACTTTTTTTTTTTTTAGTTCATTTTTCTATAGAAGCAAGCAGACAAAAAATTGAAACTTACGTGGTCTGAATATAGAAAATATACTCTTTTTTTTTAGTTCAGTTGTCGATATTATAGAAGCAACAAGACAAAAAAATGTGAAGTAAACTTCAGAAGTCATATGGCTTAAATTACAGAAGTTTTGATTTAAATAGCAGTTTCATTTTGCTAAGCTCATCCTGATTTTCTGGTTGGTGAAAGATGGATGCTTGACTGGGTAGTTCTAAAAAGCCATTGGCTGTTTTCGGTCATTTTGGATTTTAGCAACTTCCACACCCCTGCTTTTGGGCTCTAAACATGTGTCAAGATATGGTTTTGTCTGTTACTTAAACAAAAAAAAACTCATCCTGCTATAGCCAGCATCTGTGGTGTAATGGTAAGGCTATTGCTGTCGCAGGCAGAAGATGTGAGTTTGATTCTATTGTGGGGAGATTTGAAGAAATGTTTATCTCGTTTTGCTGAGACATGATCTGTGCTGCTTGGGATTGATCTTGACAGACAGGGGTGAGAAACCCCACCTTGTAAATGGTCTGACTTGGTGTTGATGGGTGTGGAAAATGTTTGTGGGGGGGGAAAAAAGAAAAAAATGTTGCACGAGGTGGTGGGAGAGGCAGTGACCCATCGTAAGTAACAGCATAAGAAAGCCACTTGTAATCTCCAGCTATGATTGGCTTAATGTTTGTTTTTTTCTTCTTTCAAATAAAAATTTTACTTTTGATTAAATTTGTATAACTTTTGTTGGGCTAAATGTTCAGCATTTTTTAAAAGATAACAGAAGTCAATATGTGAGGCATCGTGGTGAAACCAGGTGCTTGTCTAAATAATGAAAAAAAAAAAAAAACCAGGCATTTTTCCGCCAGTTTGTCAATTTTTATCAAATTATTGTTTTTTTGGCTCAACACCTATTTTGTCCAAATAAAAACACACTTCTTTGTGAATTTTACTAGCGAACATTGATGATTAAAGGCACAAAATATGCATATTTGCAGTTTTCAAGGACTCTCAAGCTATTGAAATTTCTAAACTTTGGCGTCCATTTTCTCCCAAATATTACCTCTGAAACCTGCGACCCCGGCCTTCTTCAATCGCAAATATCTTGATTTTTATCAAAGGTAGTCGAAGTATTTTTTTCCATCAAAAGCAAGGCAAATGAATAAGATTTCAAATGACACCATTAACTCCACATCCCCAAAAATTGACGAGCACCTGATTTCACTGCGTCATGACACATATGTGTATAAATAACAAATTTGTGGAGGCTTTACGGTGCCACCACTTAGAGTAGAGGAGGTAGTCTGCGCTACCCTAAGCATAAAAAGTGAACTTGCGAGTCCCCTGTGAAAGGGGAGGTAACCGCACAATAACTGATGAGAAGCAAATTTCGTCTGCTATCGTCGGCCCAGCGCGCTATGCCTGCTTTGTTTGCCTGTCTCCCTCAGTAGTGGTATTTGTGTGGCAAAGTGAGGGCGGGTGTGTGCGACAATGAGCGGGAATGCTCGTTCCTGCTTGAGGGTGGTGCGTTTTATGGAGGGGCTGCGCGCTAGGATAGGGCGGGTCTTGCAACATGCCCTAATAACTTCTTATTATAAATTTTTTAGGCTAACGTATGATTTTCTAACCACAAAGCAGGAAATATTCTTACAAATTGCACTAGAGTTAAGAGTTACAAAAGACACTCAGTTTTTATGTATAGCCAAAAGAGAAAGAAAACAAAAAATAACTGAAGCCAACACTTATAATGGAAACAGTTATCTATTAGTGAGTCTAGATAACTCTGAAAACCATGAATTAAATTTTATAAGAACAGCAAAGTAGAGACATGTGGATCTAATTGCACATGGATAAACAAAGATATTGTTTACACCATTTGTATGAAACAAATTGGGAAGGAGAGATTAGTCAGCACAGCAAAAGATCTCAATGCCCATGGCATCCAGGTCTTCCTGAGTCTTGTCCTTCATGTCCATCTGTTTGACACAGTTGGCGTGCCACCACTTGTCAAAAAGCATGCCCTGGGTGAGCACTACTTGTGCTGCGGTGGTGGCTCCACACCCAGCACAGTCGACCGTAATGTCCCCACAATCGTCGGAGCTGTCGTCATACACCGCTCTTGTCCTGAGTCAGAGGAATCTTCCTCCTCTTTCTATTTCTGTGAGGCCACAACCAAAGCATTCATCTTCTTCTCCTGAATTCTCCTTTTCTTCTCCTCCTCTTTCTCCTTCTTTGCCTGCTCCCTTTGTTTTTTCTTCTCTTTTTGGCTTTCCTTCTTGTCTTCAGCTTGTGCTAGCCGTTCCATCTTTCTCGGCTCCCTTTGCTTCTTTCTCTCTTCCTCCTGCTGTTGTTCTTCTTCCGCCTTCCTCTTCTTGGGCCTTCTAACGGCCTTGTTCTTTGAACAGGACGGAAATGTGAGCATCTTGTCGATAGTCATGTCCCCGGAGGGGAGCTGAGGTTCCAGGGCTCTTGCTGATGGCTGGGGGAGCGGAGGAGCCAGTTGTTCAATATTGTCCATCAGGCTGGACCATATGTTGCAGTCGGGGTCGATCTTGAGGTCGTATCCATAGTCATACCTCTTGAGGTACAGGTCCACCTTCTCCTCCCCAAGCTTAAAGTTTAAGTTCATGGAGAATATTTCCTTGAGTCGGTGACGGCGAGTTTGTGACGTCGTGGATGGTTCAGAAGCAGAAGAGACGGATGGGGCAGAGGCAGACGAGGTGGATGACAAGTGGAGGGTAGGGGCAGGGGACCCTGTGAAGGTGCAGCTGGGTTCAGCTTGTCACTTGTGAGGACAACGTCAGGGTTGTAGGGAAACAGCCCTGACTTGGTGAATCCCCTCAGGGCCGTTTTTAGCAGAGCTACTGTTGTCCAGGCCTTCAATTCAGGACGCCGGCAAACGTCCTCGGTGTGACGGATTCCGTGGTGTCTGTCACAAACATCCTTACCCCCTCTCGCCAGGCTGGCTTAATAAAGGCCCCGAAAAACTCCTGGTCCAGAGGCTGTGTCAAGGGGCTGGTGTGGGCCTTGATGCAATATAAGATTGCCCCGTTCTCGCTGCAGAGGTCTGAGACGCAAAACCCCCGCCTTACCAGACGCCATGGCGGCACTGCGCGCCAACCCCCATTCATCCCCTCAGAGAGGCTGAGCGGCTCCGTACTTTGCTTAGTACTGATGCTACACATACAACACACTGCTGTGTGTGTAGTGCAAGTATACACATCTTCATAAAATACATTGACAGCCTTACAACTGCAGGCCGATGCACTGTTAAAATACGTAATCAGCAAACCTGGAAATAATTTGCCTCTGTGTACGTGCAATAAACAACCACAGCGACCTGCCAATAATCTTGTGCTACAGGAAAGGGTGCTGCCATATGTTGATAAGCGCGGTAACGCTCTAGCATGTTTAAATTGGTTCATACTACAGGGTTGTCGCACAGACCCCCTATCGCGCAACCCCGCCGCTACTCTATATTGTTTCAGGATTTGACCTCTAAAAGTTGGCCCCAAAAATTTCGGTTTATCTTATATGATATAATTGTTTTCCCTCTAGGATGCTGTGCCCACATTTATGTCGTGGCAAGTGGGTCAGCTGTGTGTGTCTCAGTTCCCAGAGGATGGCCTGTGGTACAGAGCGAAGATTATGGAGTTCAGACAAGAAGAAGCCAAGGTGAGCTGCTTTCACATTTGGAGAATTCGATTGGAACTTCGTATTTCCATTGCTTGGGCAGATCTGGTATCCCTCTGTTCTCTGACTTGCTGGTTTTTGTCCTCTCTGTATGCACCACATGACAACACGCTAATAGTGAATGATTAGTAGAAATAAAAAGTTTCAAATGCTCCATATGATCGAGTGGGTGGTTGGTTGGCAAGCACTGTGGTGTAGTTTTGATCCTTCTTTCCCATCAACAAACATCTATCGTCCTTTTCTCCCTCTTTTCTCTGTATGTTACTCTCTAGTGACACCTCTGATCTTTGGCTCTTACATGACTGACTTGTGTTGCGACTGCTGTAAAACTCTTTGTAAGATTGTTAAATCTAAAATCATATAATCTAAAGAACACTATATTGTGATGGTATTTATGTTTGAACTTTTCTTTCCCAGGTGCAGTACATAGATTTTGGCAATACTGCATGGGTACCTGTGGACCAGCTCATGGAGATGTGTTCTGCCTTTGCTGAGGAGCACTTGCATGCCTTGCACTGTGTCTTGTTTGAGGCTGAGCCCTCTGCAGGGGACGGAGTTTGGCCCACACCTGTGCTGGCTCACATCCACGAGCACGTGGTCAATAACGAGTGTGTGATCACTGTGCATGGCAGCATGAAAGCAGCTCAGGAAACATTGGTGTTTGTGAGTTGTTGTTTTTTTTCATTTGCGTGTTGCCAAAGTATGGTATAAAGTTTTTAATCTGTTACTTGAGCCTTGTCTGATATAATTGGAAAGATGTTTTTTTCCTTTTATCTCTTCTTGAAGTCCAACAGCTAACTGAACATTCAGACCAAAGGTCCGCATCTGTCTGTGTTCTTCCATCAGACAAACAGACGAATTTTTATATCTCACTTGCTTGTATTCAGTTCAAAGTAATGTGTCGTACCACTGGAGAGAGTCGGTGGAAGTTCATGTAGTTGGCTTTTCAGTGGCCTTAATTTTTCATCATTGTAGTGGGGCAAGTTCAGGCAAGCTAATTTCTTAACCCTATCCGTACATCATGTTTTACTATCATATCCATACGACGTGGGGAACTCTGTGCCACCACTTTCAAAGAGGAAATTTACTCCTTAATCTGATCCGTACGCTTGTATTCGAGAAATACTGAGTTTCAAAGAGATCTTCATACTAGAAGTATTCTAAAATGGGAAGAATACTACCCCGGGGGTACAAAATGACCCCAGGGTGTACGGATAGGGTTAAACACATCTTTTTTGTTGAAATGATTTAAATCTGATATCATATTGGCACTCCTGGTCACATCTTGATACAAAAATATGCCAAGTACAAAAAGATTTGATCTGCTGGTTTATTTTTTGATTTCTCAGGAACTGACAAACTATAACCGTCAATTTCAAGTAATTTCATCTTATTGATGGAGTGCTGTCGTGCTTTGGTGTATAAATTCGTTTATTTGTCAAAAGTTGCTGTATTTATTTCTCCATTGTGGGCAAAAATTGGACTTTCTGTCCAGGCTGTATTTTCTGGGCTATGGTGCCCTCTTCTCTTGAAATATTAACCAATTCATAGGTCAGTGTGCGTATATATCATAGAGCTTTTTCTATGACTTCTCTTTTGCAAGAGTATGTAATAGTTTTTATTTTTGATATGTATGTTAGTTAAGTTCTAATGATCTGCGTGGTGGAGAGCAGGCACTAAAATTTTCTATTATCGTTTTTACTAATGCTTTTCTTACTTTCCTCAGGTCTCTCTCACAAATGAGAAGGGCTTCCAATTTCCAGACTATCTTTTTTCTGAGCTGCTTGCCACGAACAGGGAGGACATCACTCATTTTTACAAGAGAAGTGCTCTCATTGGTCCCGTCTTATGCAATAACAACCCTTACAGCCTGCTGGATGTGGGTGGAATAGGCTCAGAGTTCCGAGCTACAGTCACACATGTGGAACTCCCCAATGTTGTCTATGTACAACGTCTCGGGACTCAGAAGTGAGCAAACTGTTTTTCTTGAGGTCTCAGATTTGAGTAGAAAAGGGTTCCCGGTGTTTCACTTAATTTTCTTTCTTTTCATCACTGAGGAGCAAGCTAAAATAGCGATGAGTTTTGACATTTACTGCTCTTCAGAATAAACTGTATTTAATTTATGGTATCTTGACCTGTAATGTACTTTTTTATGTTTGCGCATCTGTCATTGCACTGGAGGCAGACATTTTTGTCAGCCGTGTCCAGAAACCTGATCCTAATGAGAAATAAAGAGCCAGCCTTTCTGGTGGATGGAAATCCAGAGTAGAATCAGATTCTTCTGAATGCCTGTCCTGACGGCTGTTGAAGGGAAACAAGATTATGGACAAGGAAAGCAGATAATTGGAACTTATTTCCTTAAACTCAATGAAATAGTATTGTTCCACTTCCACAGAAGTGAAATCATTCCTGTGTGCCACCCTCACATGATGTAAATGAAGACCACACAATCTAAGCACTGTGGTGTCTAGTGACCGAATAGCTCCTATAACTTGTCTAGTGACCGAATAGCTCCTATAACTTACCTCATACTTCTCTTTCTCAGGTCACAGGCTGTGGACTCTATCAGTAACGGAAAGGAGTCTAAAATCAGTGAACAAATCATGGAATTTGAAAAAATGGCAGAGGAGCTAAACAGATGCTCCTCTATGCCTTTTGTTAAGCTGCCAGATAAAGGAGTTATGTGTGCAGGTAAGTTCTTTGCTACAGCTCTGGTTTCTCTCCTCCCCTGATATGTTTTAAATGTCATCTGAGGCCGAGTAGTCCAGTCCATGAACTTGTGGTTTCAATGTTGTTGTATCAACGGTGGTGAAGCCGGGTCTAGATTGTGTCCTTAACCCTATCCATACATCGTGTTTTACTATCGTATTCATACGACGTGGAGAACTGTGTGCCCCCACTTTCCAAAGAAGAAATTTACTCGTTATTCGGATCCGTATGCTTTGCATAGCAGTCTGTCAAAATGATTTTTTGTGAAATACTGAAAGTTTCAAAGAGATTTTAGCACTAAAAGTATTCTAAAATGTGAAAAATACTACGCTTGGGGTGCAAAATGACCCCAGGCATACGCATAGGGTTAAGCAAGACTTCATATGAATTCTCTCATTCGGAAAGTGGGCTATGGCTAACCTTGACAATTAAAGTGGTGTTGCAAAATACACTGGACTCCTAAAAAGCACACTTTAAATTGAAAAGCCTGATTTATTCTAATGCATGCTTGAATCATATGGCGTACTGTGTGATAAAAAATCATGTTGCAACGTAAGGCGTTTTGTACGGCAAAGTTTGGTTCCACAGACCAGCATGCAACTCATTATAATGTAGATTCACGCCTAGCCCATCACAGTTCAATAGCCAGGGGAAAAACTAGGGCTTTTTCATGCCTACTGACGTTCCACCCCCCCCCCCTGATACATGCACATGGGTGGTTGGCGGGTGCTCTGGTGTGGTTTTCTCCTTCTTTTCTTTCAAACATCTATCTTCGTTATCTCCCCTCCTTCTGTTTTATGTTTTTTACTCCCTTGTAACACCCCTAATCTTCTGGCGCTTATATGACCTTATGCAGTTGCAAGCGCTGTAAAACCTCTACTAAAACAAAACAAGATACATGCACACACAGCCACGAATGCAGGCTGCTAGTACAACTTGTGTTGATCCCAACACATACTGGGCCTAAAATACACATTTTGTGCCTGTCGGCAATGCGTGTGTTGGTGGGAAAGATGGCCTTTGATTGGTCACATAAGATGGCTTTTTGTCTCTGAAAGGTCAGTTGTAGTGGACAGTGTTTGATACTCAGTAATTATGATCCACAATGCTGGGCTATGGATAGTCTCGGATTAGAGTAGACTAGATTTGTCGCTGAAGAAAAATGCGCAAAGCCACATCAGCAGGAGATGTTTACCCTGCCAGTGACTGTTTTTAAGTCCAAGTTTGCTCATATATGTGTTAGGAAAAAAAAAGACGCGAGCAAATGCTACTCCTTTAATTGAGGCTGAGTTTTCATTGATTCTGAATTTGTTGTAGCTGAGTTTTACTGTATATTGTGTCCCATTAGACTTCTTAGCCTCCCTTATTTTCAGTATAGTGGACACTTTATCTTTTTATTTTTTTTGCATCATAAAATGGGTGTCTTTCATAGGGCTGGGTTGTGAAAATAAAACCAAAAGACAATTAAATTCAAAGGCTACCCAGTGAAGTGAAAAAAGTGCCATTATCTACTGAAGACCATTCTAGTTCTTGCTGTCATTAAGGACGTGACTAAACAGAGCTTTTGATATTACCAGAATGTCATTTCAACAAATTCTGGGTCCCACCAACCTAGTCTTCAGCTACACGTTCACAGTCCTCCACTTCCCCACTGGATGTCAGTCTTATACTCTGGTGTTTGCATCTTTTAAAAAATTTGTCTATAAGAATGATGGACTCGGACTCATTGTATTTTTTTCTTTAATCTTTTTTGCGGGTGTTTGGCGGGTGCTCTGATGCGGTTTGCTTCTTCTTTCCTATCAAACATCTGTCTTCGTTATCTCTCCTCCTTTTTTATGTTTGTTACTCTCTTGTAACACTTCCTATCTTCGGCACATATATGACCTTATTGTGTTGCAAGTGCCGTAAAAAACTTACTAAAACTTTTAAAAAATGTTCTGTACTCCTGAATGTGTTTTCATTCGTTTTCTCAGGACAGTTCTCTGTGGACGGGTGCTGGTACAGAGCAGTTTGTGTGGAGAGTTACCCCAGCACTAATTCTTGTCTCCTGGTCTATGTGGACTTTGGGACCTCAGAAGTGGTTCATCTCTCTAAGATTAGAATATTACCTTCTGAGTTCTGGAGCATCCCAGCACAAGCCATCAGGTGCTACTTCAACATTGTTCCTCCTCCGAATCATGCAGGCATATTTAAAACGTCAACGCTGATGGGTGTCGTTGAGACGTTGTCCGACAAAGAGCTGCTAGCAAGAGTGGTACAGACTTCACCACTGACTTTAGAGCTGTGGGAAGAGAAAGAAGATGGTGAGCTGAGCTTGGCTTATGACATGCTCATCTCTTCTGGCCTGGCACAGCTCCCTGCTCAGGCTGACGATGACAGCTTGACTGAGGCCGGAGGGCGAGGGTTTATGGATGACGGGGACCCAGATGTTGTCTATGAAATGGAGGATGAAGAGGAGGAAAAAAGTAACACTGAAAGTTCCATGAGCCTCAAAGAACAGAATGGTGACAGCTCAAGTAATGTGGAAAGAAGCTCGGAAAGTACTGAGGCCATCACCGATGAATGAAACGTTGAAATTTTTTCCATATTGTTGATGTATGTTGTCTAAAGATAAGCTGCGATGAGGCTAGAGAAAAAGTTTCAAGTGTGAGTATTGGTAATTGTAATGAGTGTGGAGTCAAATACCTTACCAAACAGTATTAGTCTAGATGTGAAAATGACGTGAGCGCTGTAGAAAGTATTATTGATGGCAATATTGACTTTCAGGAGGGAAATGCATGTGTGGGAGATTGTAGAAACGATGACACTGAAAATGAAAGCAGAGGACTTGTTTTCAGGGTGTATTGAGACATTTGCATCTGGTTTAAAAATAGTTGAGTCTGAAAAGTTGTTTTTTTCTTGTGTCAGTTCCTTTCATAGTATTCTTTTTTTCCGCCTTTTTCATATGATCATTTTCAAATGGTAGAAATGTGGCTATTATGAAGTACGTTTCTTGGTTTTCAGATCAAGGCTTAGTTAATTTGAATGTTTTGGTTGAAAATTAGAATTTAATTGTTAGTATGCTAGATAATACAAACATATTTCCAAGGATTTTATCTGTGATGAGCTCCCTTGCCATGGTCCATGAATGCAGCTTCACAGATGTCACTCAAAGCCTGTCTTTATACCTGAGTTTGTAGAGCCCCTGGAGATAGGTTCGAGTAAAATAGGAGGTCGGGATTGAATACCTTCCCTCCACTTGTTGTCAGATGGACTGTAGATGAAGGTTGTTTGTTATATTTAGGGGAGACATACACTCCTGGTAAAAATTTCCAGACAAATGACTTCTATTCACTTTCATGTAATTGTGCAAGAAGTTCATAGGTAAATCGGATGTATTAAATTTGAATTTGTTGACTTTTTCTGAAAAATGGGTCTCTGTGGCAGCCATCTTGGATTTTCAAACCAGTTTCTCAGTTCAAATGAATTCCAGAGAAAATATTGAACTTCAGCTTGAAATTTGGCACACCTGTGCAACTGCAAACCATTATAAAATAGCTCAAAGTCAATGGACCCCTGACAGTCAGTTGACGAAACTTTGGGGTACTTTTAAAGAAAAAATTGAATACAGTAGTCTCCGCCTAAGATCCCACCGCTTACGATCCCGGTTCGCTTAAGATCCCGCTGTTTTAAGAAAACAGAATTTTTACTATACAAAAGTCACCCTTAAGATCCCGCTCTGATTCACTCTGAAGGTCTACATTCGGCTAAGATCCCGCATTTCTGATCATAATTTGCAGAACAAAAACCCGAGCGGGCACAGCCGATCAACCAAGAGTGAAAAGTTGAGATCAATAAACTGTCCATCTCGTCAAAAATCAGCCACTATCGTGAATGTGATCACATACATGTTGTAAAACTTAATGAAGCGATACAATGTTTGCCCCAGACGGGATCACACCGGGGTGTGAACTGACCAACACATTTGTTTTCCCCACGCATTGCACTCACACGTAAGCTCTCCCCCTAAACTTACATCAAACGCTGGGTGGGTAGGACCTACATGTTTGCTCCAGGCGGGATCACATCGAACTGTGAACTCTTCCCTGACCATTGCAGCAGTTGTCTCTACTCCCAAATTTACGAGACAGACTGAATTTTAATTGGTGTGTTCACAACGTGATGGTGTGTTACGACAAAGGCGAAAGGCGGTTGGGGGGGGGGGACTTGGTTAGAGATGGAAAGTTAGAAAAATTTTCGACAGGTGAAGGGGAGGGGCAACAGGATAAGCGTAGATCTTGAGTGAGACTCATGATAGGATAATAAGTGAAAATGGCACTTCTCATGCTACTATGCACTGTGATAGGCCATCAAGGTTAACCACTCTTTGCTCGCCATACGTCATAAACCCACCAAGCGGTCACGTCAGTTCATTTTAGAGTGAAGGGAGACCATTTTACAGATTGTGAACCTTAACATGGGTCACAATAGATTCTTCCGGGGGTTCATCGGTTAAGATCCCGGTTCGCCTAAGATCCCGCATTTCCTCGCTCCCGAGCACTGGGTTCTTGGGCGGAGACTACTGTATTCCCACAAGTTACAAATTTTTCCCAAATTCCTCTGCTTGTTCCACAGAATAGATCTTAAAGCACTTGTATGCCAAATTTGAAGCTTCTAGTAATTTTTGAAAACTTGCACCAAGGTGGTCACATGTGAAAAAAACCCCAGATTTTGAGAAAAACAGAAAAAACAGGATTTTTAGTTCACACATACACTTTTCAAACACCTTTTTAAGTCATGTAGGGTTTTTCTTTCAACTGTTTGGTCATTATGACCTGATAGATTAGATGTTGAAGAATGTTTTTTTGCAAAAAACAAAAAATCGATATTTTGAAAAATCGTATCGATATTCTCTGATTTGTGACCCAAGTTTCCCCTTATAAGTTGTTGATCTTTATGAGATAATTTTGGGTATTCTGGGTGGGTGTTGTTTTTGGGTTTTTTTTGTTTTTTTAGACATGAAAAGATTTTCCTTTTTTCATTTTCTCTGATCTTTCCACCCCTGACAGTTCCACAAAACATGAGGATACTCACTACACTCGCGTCATAAAACAAGGATGTTTGTGGCTCTGAGAAACAGACTTTAACACTTTGCCATCACAAGGCTCATATAGTAAAAACCCTTGCCATCGAAGGCAAAGGCATTTTGTGGAAAGTCCAAAGAAACTGGGTGGTAAACATCGCCGATCAGCGAGATGTGACGGCAAAGTTTGTTTTTTAAAGTTTGAAATGCCTTATCTTTCTTGGGCATTTTGTCCTTTCTGTGGGTGAAATTAGATCTTTCTGTGAAAAGATGAAGTACTTCTAAGGACAGGGAAGCCTGAGAATCATGAGAATGAGGTTTTTCAAAAACAGCAGGTTTGAAAATTGTCCAATATGAGTGAAGTGAATATTGTGTAGTCCTTCTGTCTTTTTCATCAGCTGCAAGTTCACATGCGCATTCTCTTTCGTATGGTATGTTTATAGTTTGTGGTTTGCTTGAAAATTAGTGTTCATCTGCTTGAGTATAGAATTGAAAATTTATCCAAATGGTTCTGTTTTTATGTTATAGAATAAAAATGATTTATGCTAAGATGTTAAGAATATTATTCGTGTGTTCAGATCAGAAATGGTGCCTTTCCATAGAGTAATATTTCCTTGAATTCTGTTTGTCGTGGAACAGTTTTTGGTCTGTTTTTAACTGTATCCCAGAAGAACTTTCTGCAACTTATGATGGTTTTCTCTGAGCCATACACACACATTATCTTTTATTGACTCGGAACTTGTTCTGTCTGCATACAAGGTACATCATGCTACAGCGTACATTTTCTGAGTGTTTGAGTTTGTCGTTCTAATTTCTCAATGAATGTTACTTATATTCCCTCATACTGCCAATTGCGTTTTCTTTATTTATTTTTGTTTATTTCCTGTAATTTTCCTGGTAAAATATTTTGATATTACTTTTGTATAATTGAGGAGGTCGTTTGATATGTTTTGTTTGTATAATGACTTTCACAATTCAGAATGAATCATTGTAAATGTTGTCAGTCATATCAGTTTGAAAAATGATTGCAAATTCTCAAATTTGAATACATATGGTTACGGTATTCACAATATGAGCTGAAGCCAGCTAGTTACTTTTAAAAAAACAACCCAACTAAACATCCAATTTACACACCAATACTCTTCTCCACTCTGAATTGAGCTGATTGTCATCAAATAAAGCTTCTCAAATAGGCTGCTTTTTAAACATGTTGAATAAGAATGACCCCTCCATTTTGTACAGTTTTTTTTTTTTTGGTAGACATTAGTTATTATAAATTAGGTAATTGAAAATGACATCTTTTAGTATGAACATTATCACTGCTACAGAAGCACAATATTGACTAGATTTCATGTTTAGAGCTGTCAGTGGCAAGCAAAGGTGTACAAGAGTTATGAGATCTTGCAATAATTTGTTCTGAACGATTTGAGAAAATTGTTTGTGTTCCCAGTGTAACACTGATAATAATTACAACATAAAAAGGTATTTTCTAGTTTCATTTTGTCAGTAGAGTCTTTTTTTTTTTTAATGTACAATTCTGTAAGAGCTATATGTTACTCCCTTAGTCTTGTCGGATGGCAATTTCTCTAACAGAGCCTGGGCACTGGGCATTGTTAGAACATGATGCTTCTCAGGGTTATTTACGACACTTGCTTCACATGAACTTTTGTACCTTTGATGACTGCTCTGAATTTTTTTGTCATTGTACCTTTCTGTCAGTCAGGATTTTGTGACATCAGTAGCCTATTGGTTAGGCTACCGCACCCGTTATCGTGCAATTGCAGGTTTTGGGGTTCGAGTCTCAGCTTGGTCCAACTTTGTGTGCTTGAAAGGCACTTTACATGGATTTCCAATTTAGCTACATTCTTTTGGAGATGGACGTTTAAGTCAGAGGTTCTGATCTTAAATCACCCAATAGTGTTGATTGGGGCATTAAAATTAAACCTGTACCATTTCACTTTATTTTTTTTTTCATTCTTGATTTTAGAGAGTAAATGCACTGGAATGATTGTGAGAAATACATGAAAAACCTTGAGTTAACTGGGTTTTAGAACTGGAACAGGGACTTCAAAGTACTGATAAATGTTTTTTTACTGGGTTTCCGTGCTCTACTATTCCTTGAGCTGAGAAATCTGATGACATCATTATCTTGTGTTTTTCCTAAATAGCCTAGAACCGGTAACCCCCCTCCCCCAATTGACCTAATCCTCTCAATTGCATTTGATACTTCACCGAGGTGGGTTTTTTTCTTTACTACTGTAGGATTTTAGTTTCTGCTATACAAAAAATAGCTCATTCTCATTTTATTGATAAATATTTTTTTCATTTGATCACTCCTTTCTCTTGAGCATTCAGGCGATTTTTTTCCCCATTACCTAAGTCTGATGCTCATTTTTCATGTTTCCATTCTTACATACCAGTATTGATGTTGTCTTTACTTTGCTGATTTCTTTTGTTTCCGAGTGTTAACATTGGTTATAACCGTTCATAATCTTGTTTTTTTGAAGGATTCAGAATAAAGATTTCTGTATCTGAACAAGTTTTGTTACTTGAAAATTATTGCTTTGTTGAGAAAGAGAACAATTTTTGTTGTTGAGAACTACTCGAAGACAATGCAATAAAAAAACAAAATGATGCACCTTGAGTTGGTTTTATTTTTCTCCCTCTACCAGCTGAGTACTTGAATGCTTATTGTGTGCCGTCTTGTCTCCTGATCACAAACCCAAGCTGTCCTCATTCTGATTTACTCCGCATATATCAGTATGCTGATTTACTCCGCATATATCAGTATGCTGATTTACTCCGCATATATCAGTATGCTGATTTACTCCGCATATATCAGTATGATTATATTTTTTTTATATGAATAGTTTGACAACAAAATGCAACAAATGCTATTTTTAATTATGTTTGGGTGAAACTTGTACTGTTGTATCTAGAAAAGTGAGGCACATTCCAGAGTCTACTTCTTTTTTCACAATACGCATATTTTTCCTCTTTAAAGAACTGCAGCAAATGACTGTTTTTATTAAACTCAACAAAAGTAGTTGACCTTTTTTGACAAACTGCGACATATCCTCAGGCCACCAATCAAGTTCTTTGCTTGAGTCACATGACTTTGCTTGTTGCCAACAAATGTTTGTCCGTGGTTCTTATCGTTCCTTATTATTGCAAGTCGTATAATATTGAATCAATGTTTTTCATTATATTGATCACTTACCACCCACGAAGCGCTCAGAGCACACAACCTTTGTCCCCACGTACGGTACCACTACCAAGACGCAGATGGGGTACATGAGCAGTACTATACTTGTACCTCTGCGAAAACTCCCTAATCATTATGAAATTTTCGGCACAGTGAGAAAATTGAATGTGATGATAGAATGTTCACCAAAAAAAGGAATTAGAATTTGGAACTGAAAACACTAGATCAAGGCACATTCATACCCCGAATTCTCATAGCGTCAGTGTAATGTAGCACTCATTGCCAAGTGTACTCAACATTTTTTCAAAAAGATTTACTCCAGTTGTTATAAACCAACTAATTTGCATCCTCAAAGGCCACACAAACCATTCAGAGTGGGTGTTCCTTCTTTCCCATCAAACAGCTCTCCTCCCTTTCTGTGTTTGTTACTCTTATTTATAACACCTCTAATCTTCAGCACTTATATGACCTTATTATGTTGCAAGTGCCGTAAAACTCTTCCTAAAACTAAAAGAAACATTCAGAAAGGAAATTATAACTTTCACAATACAACATTTTTGTCACTGTATCACACCACTGCCGATCAGCGTCACTTGGAGGCAAAGTGATTTGATGGTGTCTGTTGTTGGAATGTTAAAATTGACTCGTACATAACAGTGATGACAAACATTTATTTCTGAAAGAAAAATAGAATAGCGTAATAATATTTCACTTTTATTGCCAGAACCAGCTGCAGTCATAATTAACAGACACTCAGAAGCAGTAAAAATTGAATAAATATTGTCGTTAAAATGGTGTTTTGTATTTTTTAAACTTCATAGTGTTGTCATGTTTACAAGACAGGTGACCTCATATACTATTTCTTAAAGTAGGTTTTAGTTCCTTTGTAAAATGGCATTGTTTTCCTAATTTTCATGTCGAGAGAGGTTCAGGTAGGCCTACTGTTGTTGTGAGGTCTCAGGTACACATTTTGCAGAAATTTGAACTTTTGGGAAAATAAACACAAATTTGACTCGTACACATAACAATGATGACACAAAATAGAGTCGCACAGCTTTTTTCTTCAAAGCATCTCATAGGTAAAAAATTTGTCCATTCCACCTGTGACAAAAACAAAAATGGACATGGGAAAATATAAACATTAAAAGAAATATCTTTTCTAGCTATCAAAGTTGAACAGTTTAATAAAAACTATGAATGAGCACATGATTTTTATACGTCACGAAATTACAACATTCTGTGATTTAAAATAGATACCGCTGGAATAGCCAGAGCCACTGTGCAATCACATGCTTTGGCACTCTTTACCTCTTACCTCTGCCCAGGAGAGGATTATCAACCTTTTTCATGGATAAATTTGAAAACTTCCTCAGTTTTTAATATAAGAAATTAATATTTAAGCATATCTAGGAAATGACATTAAAAAAAAAAGCCACAGTGGATAGCCGATTCCCTAGCAAAAGGGTCTTGATCAGAGCAGCATGACAAAAAGGATGAATTATTCCTAGGCAAAGACCATTATCCAAATGGGGCTACAAACAAACAAGAACAATATCTCCTATGTCTACTGGGAAGGAACAAAAAGATAAAGGAGGTGAATTTTGCTGTTCAAATTATTTCTTTCTGTCCGAAGTAATGGTCACACATAAGGATAGGGCAGTCTGTGAATTCCACAGTGTAGTCGTAGAAGAGAACCAGCTCTTCCGGTGATTCACGACTGTCACCTACAAAACCGCACTCTTCTAGAGTCATATCCGGAGACAACACTGACTCAGCGTTTCTGGATCGATCTCGAAACACAGCCAGTTTTGTTGAGCTGATGTCTGTCTCTGCTATGATGATCTGAATCAGACCACACACCGGAAGATGGGAATGGACGAGAAGGACAAGGTGTCCAGGGAAGTCTCGAAACATGTCAAAGGTCACGGAACGCATTTCCAGGGCAATGTATCTGTTTGGAAACAAGGTAAAAAAAATCTGTTTTACACAAACAAATTATGATGACACCTATGTATTGTATGGAGAATTCAGCTCCTTTTTTGTGCCTTTGAACTTAGAAAAAGAGTTGTACAGAATTGTAACTTATCCGTTATTTTTATTTTGAGTCTGCTCATAAGTAGACCCTTACATGATGTCTTCAAAATTAGAACTCATCCAGTTCTATTCTCTGCTCCACAGTAGAGCTGTAATAACTTAAACACCATAGGGTCATCTTACCCTGTTCTATTTGGATGTGATTCAGGAGTTCAAAAATGATTGATGTTATACTTATACTATTCTGCTAAATGCTATAATTTACTATAAAATGTAAATAAATGCTATGCTGGTCACAGTTGCACTATGAAAAAGCAAGTACACATTCAAATCCATGAGGGGTCCCAGTTATTTTTCTCAGCCTTCTCAAATGTTTCCCCTCAACCTCAGTAAATGACCAAGCCTTTAGAATTACTTAAAATGTGTCTAGAAAGAATGATGAACTTTAACAGCAAGAAAACTAATAAAAGTAAAAACATTACGATAGCTCATAACATATTTCCGTAATAGCCAACTTTACTTTTTATCCCTACCTTTTCTCTCTTTCTCTATCTCTCCCTCCCCTCCCCCTCCTCCCCTCATCCCCATACATTTTTTTACACTCTAAAAGTGTCCTTCATTAGTCCAATACTCCAATGAGCACCATTGTTAAAGGTGAACATCATAAACATATAAGCACAGACAAACTGAGACCTGCTGTATGTTAACTATAATTTTTTAAAACTCATTCGCTATGTATTATTTTCGGCTTGTGGACGAATTTTTTTTCGGGAGGGCGAATGAGGTGATGACTAGTGGGTAGTTAAAAGGTCTTTGGGGCCATAAATTCAAATAAATATAATATACCAATATTTTCTGTATGGTTTGTAAAACACATCTGTAATGTTTATTTATGTATTTTTCAACTTTGGTTTATGTAAGAGGCGATTATGCAACAAAATTTTGATTGGATGTGGATAAAATTTGAAAATAAAAAATTAATAATCTTTGGTGAAACTAAAAAAATATGTTTGCACCTAGTCAAAATACATCAAAATAACCATAAATGAATATAGAACTGGAAAATATTGAAAAGTTTGCAGTTATTTAAATACATTCCATAATATTTGTAGATTCTGCATTTGGATCATAACATCTGATATTGAAAAAACCCCAACATTTTTATAATCTTGAAAAACGATCACAAAGAGAAAAAAACCCACTCGTATCTTATATGGAAGTATTTAGAGTTGCATTTGGAATAAACCTATACATGTCTTGAGTGGCACTTTTTGTGTAATTTCATCAAAAAGTAGTGATTTGGGGGAGAAAAAAATGTTTTGACAATTTAGATCTACACCTAGATCTAGTTTTAGAGATTCTAGATCTAGATCAAGCACTCAAAAATAACTGATTTCTCAATAACAGTGCATTGACAATATGAGTCCAACCGTATCAATATTATAGAAAAGAGTCCTACATTTCTTTAGTGGGCAAAATAATGATAGATTTTGTTGTGTAAAATTACTAAGACTGGTGTCCTGGCTATAATTTTGGCATCGCAATAAAACAAAGTCGAAAAAACTACGAAATCGTTTTTCAAAACTGAATCAAAGACAGTACATAACAAGATGGGCCACTGAGCCAAAAAAGTGTCCGCCGGAAGTCCGTTCTTTGCTTCAGATGGCGCTGGAGTCTGTTTTGAAGCTCTCTTTCGTTTTTTCTGAAGAAGAATAGGAATAGCACCTCCTTGCGTGCGCAAATCAACTGCTGTTCATCAGTGGTTCGGGTTCGTTCAGTGCGCAGTTTTAGGGTTTTTAAAAATTTTAATGACCTCTCGCCTTTCATTTTAAAGTCAAATTAAACGAAGAAAACAATCACCTCTTCCTCCGGAAGCGTTTTTTTTGTCTGCGTAACAATTTAAAAAAGCGTTCTTCCGAAATGTATCCAAAAATTGGCTCAAAGAGAGGAGTGGCCCCTCTTGTTATGTAGATTCTTTGACGGAATCTAAATTTCCGATTTTCAGTGGAAATGCTTGGCTCGGAAGTCAACATTATATTTTAACATGGATATGTGGATTGGAATAGAATCTAAGCTAAAATTGAAGATCGGTTCTCGAGCCACCGGGGGCAGCTTAGCGTACTGACGGCACTTTAGCCGCGCCGCCCCCCCACGGCTCGGCGTAGCGAATGAGTTAATGCTCATGAGTGCTTCAAAAAGATGCCATTCTTTCCAACCACGCTGCATCTGGCTCAAATTCTGTGATGAAACTCTCACAAAGACATCCCTAGCAAATTTTATAGTTTACCGCACCTGCCCCTGTTCCACTGACTAAAAACCCTGAGATTTCAAACTATTCTCAGTGCAGGAAATTCTCTTCCACAGAGTGTGAGTCTGACAATGACACTTGACAGGCTGCGGAAAGTGCAATAAGTGGCTTGTTCAAAGATTTGTGCGACGACTGCTTATTAGTTGGCAAAAAAAGCATCAGCGAAGACTGCGACTTCACAGAGTGCTTTACCCAAAGAATTAAAGGAATGAATTTGAAAATATCATTCTCTGCTCTTTCCATCCGTCAGTCCATGATATATGCATCAGCTTAAGTCTGCAATTTTGTACAAAAGGAACATCAAACTTTTCTTACCAGTTAATGGAGAAAACGATTTTTCCCAAGACCTAATAATAATAATAATAATAATAATAATAATAATAATAATAATAATAATAATAATAATAATAATAATAATAGATAGCATTTGTATAGCGCATATCCCCGCTCAGCAGCAGGCTCTATGCACTTTACACTATATTATTACCCCAGCAGACCATAGAACACTCCGAAACATTCTCAGCTTCCCGGGAAGCATACAGTGCGAGCAGCCGATTAAGCGCTCAAACACTAACAAACTGACAAGATCTTTCGCTGTCTATAGCCGGGTACCCATTCCCACCTGGGTGAAGTGAGGAAAATTCGTGTAAAGTGCCTTTCCCAAAGACACAACGTCGGACCCTTGACGGGATTCGAACCCACGACCTTACGGTTGCGAGTCCGAGAGCCTAACCACTAGGCCACCGACGCCACAAGACCTAATTCAAATATCCATCCAACACTGGACATAGATCACAGGTACATGATTTCCAATAACGCACATCTTTCTCTCTCTCTCTCTCTCTCACTTTCACACATCAAGAACATCGGTAACACTTGCAGAGATATTAACTAATTCTCTCCCATGGTAGTTTTGAAAGTTGAAACTAAATATGCTACTCACTATTTCATGTTTCTTACGCGATAACAAAAATAGTTTTTAGAGTCAGCTGCATAAATTATACAGTCTTGGGTAGGCCTATTTTTCTGTTACAAGTATCCAGCTGCTCAATATCAGATCTCATTCTCACTTCCTAGAAATAATGTGAAGCAGCAGGATTTTTTTTCTTATTCTTCATCTATAACTTTTTTTTTGCACTTGATGACAATGACAAAAAAAACCCTTTGTTCAATTTTGATATTTGTGAAATGTATGCGAAAGACCTTTTTCTTTTAAAAAAGCCAGCAACATTTGCGAGATTTTTTTTTACTAGATTCCATTAAAACAGACAAAAATACAACAATAATATTCCCACTCAGTAACAATGATTTGTTTTTGTTCTCTAGAGGTGTCTCAGACTCAGATTGAAACAATACTTCACAGACTCGCAATGGTCTATAATGAACCTGAACAGGAAACCCATTTGATAACAATTTAAAATATCTAACACTATTCACATCCGCATGGGATGGTAGTTTGACTTCCAGAAGCTTCCACTCATGGCTTTTATAGTTAAAAGAGTTTTCCAATGACAATGAGATTATTGTATTTATTCTTTTTAATTTCAATCTGAGGAGTAGCAAGTCATTAAGAGGAGTCATAACGCAAATCCCAGGCAAGGTTGTGTTGGCTCACCTTGGTAAAGTTTCTCGCCAAGGTTCTATGATGCTCATCTTGCAACATGGGCATGGTGGGAATTTGCGTTCGGTCAACAGCAGCTGTCTTTCATCGCGGACCGTCTGCTTGTCCAACTCTCGAATTTCTCTGTCGAGGAACAAACAAAAGGATGTCATAGAGAACATAAATTTAGATTGAACATATTCTCCTTTGACTTCCTTCAGATTACAGCTGACTTAATTGTTCACACCTTTTATAACTATGTTAAAGAACTTGAAGAAATTTACTAGATGTGCTGAAATCTAGAGCCAATTTGGGAGCAACCTCCAGTAGCATCTGAGTGTTAGTTCTTCTGCATGATGCCATTCGGTAATAGTTGCATGTTTGTTCTAATTGTTGTCTTGAGGAGTAGAGGCAATTAGATGTGTGGGGTAGCTTGGGAAGAAGACATCCCCTTAAACTTAAATCAGTAAGTTTTCTACAGAAGAACAGATGATGTTCCACTGTCTCTGAGGGGTAGTCACATAGTGGGCAGGCAGCAGCGGTTGAGATGTTGGTTGAGGGGTACATGTTGTGTTCTAAGTTGGAAGATTATGTATTGATCTCCCCTCCTCAACTCATTGATTGGATCTTTGACCTGGCCCAATCAAATTATGTACACTCCAAATCAAGTGCAATATATCTTTGTTCACATCAGTCCCACTCTCAAGTGTCTCTAGTGTTGAAAGGCTGTCTGTAAAGATAACGATGTCTGTGGTAGCAAGTGGGTTAGTGTCAAACAAGTAGTTGATGTAGTTTGCTGTGTTGGTGATGGCCTGTTGTTCGGCAATGAAATTGGAGCAGAAGGATCCGCTGGAATTAAAGACTTCTTTTTTTTATCCCACTGGGCAAGTTGATCACTGACCCATATCCAGCGTTGATTGTTGCCTTAAAGGCAGATCCATCAGTGTATGAGTGGATCCATGTTGGTGGATAGGAATCAATTGTTTCAAGGGCAGAATGTTTTAGTGCTACAGGATATGTGTTTTTATTGCTCTTGTTCAAAAGTGTTTTCCTAATTTCTGGCTTTGCTATGGTGAGATGTGGTGGGAGAGTTGAGGGAACTCTTTCCAGGGGTTCTCTTCTTTCAGGGAGGTGATCTTTTTCTTAAGATTTTGTATTTTTTAAGTCTTTGATTAGGTTTCCACTTGTCAACAAGGATTCTATTAGGGTGGTTATTTTCTAGCCTTTTTGATCTTTCATATACTTCTAAAGCTGCCCGTTTTCTTCGAGTTTCTAATGGCTCAATATTTGTGTGGATTTCACAGGCAGCAGTCGGTGAGGTTCTCATTCCGCCAGAGATAAGATGAAGAGCTTGGTTTTGGATGGTGTCCATTGAGTTCTTCGTAGTTTTACTGCAAATGTTTTGTAGAACAAGATTATAATCAAAAACAGCTCTGATATAAATAGAGGCCTCTCAAGGTGTTCTTGTCTGATCCCCAGTTGGTACAGACTAGTCGTTTGATGAGATTAAGTCTCTTCATAGCCTTCTCCCTGAGGTTGTTGGTGTGTTGTTTCAGGTTGAGCTTGCTGTCAAGTTGTACTCCAAGATACACTGGCTTAATCTCCTTTTTCAAGTTGGTACCATCTATTTTGAGAGGGATTTCTGCATTTGCAAGGTTATAGCTTCTCGTAAAAACAGAGTAGACAGTTTTTTCACAATTTACTTTCATCTTCCATAAACGGCAATAGATTCCTAGGGAATTTAGATCATCTTGTAGTCTTCGTCTGCTTATTGTTGTCGAGTTTCCAGTGTGCCAAAGGACCAGGTCATCAGCAAAAAGGGCTTTTTCTGTTCTGAGAACATCTGAAACGTCATTGAGGAAGACAAGGAATAAGGTACAGCTGATAGAAGATCCCTGTGGGAGTCCTTCCTCCAGTACAGTCCGTGCCGGCTTTAAGCACGCCGGCTTAAAGCACGTTTCGGACTCAAGCACGCTAAACGGCTCTTACCGAATTTTTGCTATATAAATTACACGCCTTTAAGCACGGTAACTTCGGCTTCAACACGCTTCATTTACAAGACAGTCAATATTTTCATGATGACCCATCGAAGTTCGAACACAGTCTACACCGCAGCAGTGGAGTGTGTCAAGAGAAACACAAAGAACGCAAGTGATGGACACACACACTCACACGGGCGGAGAGGAAGGCAGAGAGATGCACACAGCCGCGCGCGCGGACATAGGATCTAGCTTAGGCCTAGGGCAAAGCTACACACAACCAAAAAAAAATACAGAGAGTCGTGGAGGCAAGAAAGGGAGGCTGGCTGCGATTTCACCTTTGACCCTCGCTATCCATTAATCCTGATTGTGCATCACGCGCGAGGTGGGATGAAGGCGGTGGTATGAGTGGCACAGCGGGCAGTGGTATGCACAGGCAGTGTGTAGGCCTAGTGTGCTGTATTGTGACTGGCCGTCTTAATTAAGTTTTCATTTCCCATTCGACCACAAACCAAAAACAAACAAGCGAACAAAAACTACCATGGCGGGTGTCTAAATAACAGTGCACACTTTTGTGGGACCGCTATAGGCCTACTTACAAACAAAGGGAAATAGCACGGGAAATTTTCTACATGAAAATCTCTGGATTATGTTAACTTCGCACTCAAGCACGCTTCGGCTTTAAGCACGCTTAAGCTTTCTCCCGACGACCGTGCTTAAAGCCGGCATGGACTGTACTGCTTTTGAAGATAGGGTTTCATCCATCTGGGTTTGGATGAGTCTATCTGTACTGTAAGGAATGATTTAATCCAGGAGTACATGTTTTCCTTGATTCCCATGTTCTGCAGTTTTAAGAGTAGTCCTTTCCTCCACACTCTATCGTATTCTAGTTGGAGATCCACAAACACAGCCGTTGTCTGTTCCCCTCTTTGACTTTGAAATCCATCAATGATTTTCTGTGTTAGCCTGAAGAGCTGGTCTTCTGTCCTGCCTTTTGACCTGAACCCTGCTTGACACTGTGATATCAGACCTGGAGACACAAGCCACCAATAAAGACGAGAATTGAGGATTCTTTCGCAGAGCTTGCCAATACAGGACGTGAGTGATATTGGGCGGTAGTTTTTAGGGTCATTGGCCTTCTTTCCTTTCTTTAAGATTGGGTTTACAGTAGCTAGTTTCCATGCTTTAGGCAGATTTCCCTCAGTCCATGTTCTGTTGTAGAGCTTAAGAAGTAGCAATTTGGCTTTTTCACCAAGGTTTTGTAGCATCTCATTGTGTACTTTGTCAGGACCTGGGCTTTTTCGCTTCTTCAGTTTCTTGATTGCACAGTCCAACTCTCGCTTAGTTAAGAAGTCCTGGAAGATACTCGGTGTCATCAAATCTCTCTCTTTTCCTTTCAGAACACTCAGTAGACCCCTGTCCAGATCATTCCTTTTGCTGCTTTTGTTAATGGAGGCAAAATGTTTATTGAAGTGTTCGGCTTTTTTTAACTCGCTGGTGAGAACTTCAGTTTCTGTGTGTAGTGGTTTGGGGTTTTCTTTCCTTTTTTCGCCAGTGAGGTTATTTAGAAGTGACCAAGCTTCACGTCCACCTTGATGTAAATTGAGTCCCTCACACTTCTGCGTCCAGGCTTCCTTCTTAGATTCCTTGGTGACAAGTAAAGCCTCTGCTACAGCCTTTTTGTATCTAATTTTCTAGTCCATATTTTTTAGATCTTTCTCATATACATGTCTGGCATCATTTTTAGTTTTTGTAGCTTTCTCCAAGCGCTCGTTCCAAAAGGGTTTATAGTTGGTTCTGCACCCCTTTGGGATACTCTTCTTTGCAGCATCTAAGATGATGGAGGTGAGTTCACTATTAAGGGCATCTGTACTTTTATTGTCTAGATCATCCAGTTTAACGGTGTCCTCAGCTGTTTTTCTGAAGAGATCCCAGTTTGCCTTCTTGAAGTTCCAACGGGTTCTTCTTTTCCTTTGTCTGTGTTTCAGTATACTGATTTTGGTGAGAACGGGACGATGATCACTAGATATACAGTCTAACACCTCTTCACTGCAGTAGTTGTGTAAATCAGCAGAGACCAGGGTGAGATCTGGTCTGTGGAGGGTCCCATGTCTCCTATGAAGAAGTGTTTTGGTTGAATCCTCATCTTGGAGAAGGATGAGGTTAGAGGACTGACATAGTTCTTCAATCCTCTTACCTGTGTTGTTTTGGTCAGCATAGCCCCAAAGGGGGGAGTGTCCATTAAGGTCACCAGCTATGACCGTCTTCTTAAAGATAGTACTCTGTTCCATGAAGTTCAGAGTGTTACTTGGGGGACAATAGATGTTATAGAGTATGAGCTTGCTGTTGCCATACCACAGGGTGACTTTATGTGCGTCTGTGGGGTGCCAATTAAGGAGCTCTACTTCACCCTGAATGTCATTTCTGATATAGGTTATAATCCCTTGGCAACCTTCACATTTACATGGATAAGGGGTATACCCAGTGATGTTTATGTCACAGGATGAATGGAGAGTTTCCTGTAATAGAGCAATGTGGACTTTCCTTTCATACAAAATTTTCCCCAATTGTGTTTTCTTCTTGTCCAAGCCACAGACATTTGCCCGAAGAATATTGAAGTCTATAAGCTTCTCTTTTCCGTTACCAGTTGTAGGGGGTGTTTTCTTCTTGTTTTTCCATTTTCTCTGCTTTCTGATTTTCTTTTCCTTCCAATAACCATCCACCAGGCCAGCTTGGTTGCCCACTAAGACCTGGGGAGACCTTGATTACCGAGGCAGCGTCTCAGCTCGTATGGGATTCTATCATTCGTGAATAGCATCTAAAACTGGTGGTTCTGTGATTTTCCTTCCATCCCGGGGTAGGAGATAAAGCAGTGGCTGTAGGTGCAATGCCACAAACAAAAAACCCAACTCCATCACAAAGAGATTGTAAGAAAAATGAATGGGTATGTTGGTGTCTGTTGTATTATATTGAGGAGTTGTTTGAGGAGATAAAGAAGAGAAAGACGCTATTAAGAGCATAGTTGCTGTGTGTTGCTGAAATACAAAAATTATAATATAATAATAATAATTCTAATAGTAGTAATAACACCAATAGGAAGCTAGATTTCCCCCCCCCCTCCCAGAGCAACCAAGTCCTCTCATCCAAGAGATGGGGGCAGGGGAAGGCATGGCAGATCCCAGAGGGTTAATGTTGTCAACAAGCAAGACGCAAATGGTCTCTGAACCTTCTCCGCAGTCATAGGGCTCTCCGATAAGTGCATGCTTAATACATGTATGTAGCTGGGTATTCCCTACGTACAGTCACATCCAGTACAGTGCTGACAATGAACCTCTGCTTTCCACCCCACCAATACCCGTCCCAACTCCAGGTCAAAGAAAGGTTGTCGATGGAGAGAGGAGAAAAAAAAAGTTAATAAATGTAATAAAGTAAAATAATAAAAACAATAAATAGAAAGAGTAAGAAACATAGTAAAGTAATATGTCTCTTTTCGGGGTCACCCCTTGACCCGCTAGCTTCCTCTTTTTCTTTTCCTATTCGAAGAGTACTAATCCCCCCCACCACAAAGAGGTGGGTCTATTTGGGGGGGATCAGCAAAGGCAGGGTGATAATTTTGTAGAGGAATAATATCGTGTTAATGCTGACTAACAATTTAAAAATATTTAAATGTGTCTTAATGTATGATATCGTGAACCTAGCTTCATGCGTGGTTGGCCGGTACTCTAGTTCTCTTCTTTTTCTGTTCCTTGTATGTTATTTTTTAGTAACACATCTAATCTTTAGCACTTATATGATATAAAATAGTGCTGTAAGTTTACTAAAAGTAAAACTTCAATTAAAACTGAACTTAACTTCCTTTTTAAGGAAAGTCTTGGAAACTAAACTCAATCTTGGCTGATCTTAATGAAATATTCAGCTGAATAATAGCAACTGCACACCATTGAAATCAAATTTCCCAGCATGCATGAAAAATGCTGTATTTTTCTTTCTTTCCTTTCTCTTTGAACCTGATAAATTTATAAGTATTTTAAAAAACACACCTTGCGTATTGTAAACCTTTCTCCAGGTCTGTGTAGTCTATCTCTCCTGCATCTTCTTCATCCAAAAGTTTGCATAAAAGATGAAGTTCTATTTTGTTGACAGGAGCATTTAAGTCGAACATACCTAAAAAAACAAAAACAAAAAAACTCAGTTCACAGAATTACATAAACAGAGCATCATCAACATCATTTTACTTAAGAGAAGAATGCATTCACTGTCTTAACTAGCTACAGTTCTTGGGGTTTCTGGGGTTTCCCTCACATGTTGAGGGCAAGGCTAATAAGATGTTACAACTCATCTATGTTAAAGAAATGGGATGAATCGTATTTTATCAAAATGTCAGGAATTGAATAAATTCTTTGGAAAATACCTTCGACTGCACTTCTACAAAATCATAATATATCTTGTGGTGCCAAAACTGTACAAAGTTTTGTTTTAAAAAGATAAATTTATACCATCAATTTTCTTAATAAAGAAGGGAAAAGAAACAACAACTTAGAGGTTAAAGTTAAAGAAGTGAAAATCGAGTGGGGGGGGGGAGGGGAGACAGTAAAACACATATTTTCCTTGACAAAACAAAATGCTATTCACAACATTAGATCTGCAGCCATATATGATAAATAAGTTCACTGATCCTTTACTAATACCAAAATCAATGAGACTAAGAAAATTAAAATCTAAATATAATATAATGCTGAAGGCTGACCCACGCGTTAGACTTCTCCATTCAAATTCAATTGGCACTGTATGCAAGAGAGACTATCCAATCAAATTCAAATGGCCCTGCATCAGAGACCAATCATTATTTATTGTCTTGAAGTGCACTGTTCCCTTTGGTCTTCAGGGGAGAGGAAGGAGCAGGCACAGTTACTGAATCATGATGTCACACACTGCTCCTCACATTCCCCCTCGCCATTTCAAAAAAGCACTCTGAAGGTTTACTGTGCGTCGATCGGCTCTACATGTATTTTAAAATGAAGTAACGCATGTCAAATCTTTGCTGCCAAACATCAGATGGCACACACGCAGAAAAACAATTCAGCTGCTGCATTCTTGTAGCTGGGGTAAAAGAATATTTCAACTCATGTATTCAACTCGACATTTGAACTAAACCCATCACTGTTTGACTTTTACAAATGTAAAGAAGAAGAGGTACTGGGACCAGAGAAAAAAAATCAATTTAACCAAAGATCAAATCAAGTGACTTCAACATAAGTGTAGTCGACTGTAAAGAAGAAGATATTGCTTTGTTATTGTAACACACATGCCACGAATAATTTGGACAATGCCTATGTAAATGAGAAAATCGATAAATCTATTAACTTTAGCAACATCCAGAGCTTGCATGCCATCATATATGATTTTGGAGGTTCAGGTAGCACATCAATAGCGTTTGCAAAATTACAAAAGCATAAAGACTGATCCAAAGTGAAAAACCGCCCCAAAAATTAACAGTAAAGGTCCTGTAAATTGTTGGAAATAGTCTACGATCATCACATTTTCTGACAGTAAGTCTCCAATTGTATCAGCTACTGGAAGGCATACAATGTGATGCATGGGCCTGTGCCAAGATCAATCATAGGACAAGGATCTGCTTTTTAACATAATATAAATGATATCTAGTGTTTCATCTGGATCTCAAACTTCACTGACCATCGACAAATCATATGCATATTTGTGGGTTAGGTTTTTAGCAGGGCATGTTCAAGATTTTAAAAAAAACTGAAATCCACCATACCAGTTTTTTGCCACGAAACTTCAGATATCAACCATTTTTCAAATTTATCATTCTAGTAGTTTGACAGGACTTCCAAAAAAATGTCAAAATACTGCAAGTCATTTTGACATTGTTCATTGTTCATTGTTTCAGGAAGCAACATCCCTGCACTCCGGACATGTCCATTGATGCTCCGTTGCTCTCTCCAAAATGTTGACGAGGGTCCTTCCACTGATTGTACCGGTGCACATCTGGTTGAACGTTCTTCTGTTCTTTCTTGCAAGGATGCCAGATTTTCCGCTTCCTTTTTGTATTCCCAAAAGCATCATCCTCTCCATGGCAGTACTGGCCTCTGCCTCCCTATCTTCCTCCTCAATCAGCTGGCGAGAGAGACATTTCAGGATCTCGACCCTATCTGGTTGAACCGTATTGTCAACTAAGGTGGCCTCACCAGCCAATCTGTCGGCTTTTCAATTTCCCCTAACACCTGCATGGCCAGGGCAGAAAATCCATGTGAGCGATTGTATAGGCGTTGGTTCGATAGCTTGAATCCATTCTGTTCTCATCATTTTGACAAAAGTGATGAAATTCCATGTATATATTTGTTGTGAGATAGAGATTAGACCACATGATAATTTCACCTGAAACATTTTGCTCAATAAAGTTCACGAGCCACAAAGTAAATGGATAATGTAATATTTAGTCCTGTACAATAATAAAACAATGAAAAGGGCAAGTGGTAATTCCATCACACATACCTGCTTTAAACTCATCATATGAGAGAAGTCCTTCACCATCAGAGTCAATCCGCTTGAACATCTCCACTGCCATAGCAGCATGGTCAACAATCCACTGATGCATACGGTTGACAAAAGTATCGTAGAAGTCCTCATTCATCTTCAGTTTTTCAATTGCTTTCTCTAGTTTTTCCTGTATATGAAAAGCAGACAATTAAAATAATTTGGGAACTTAAGGCTGATTGTCAAGATAGAAAACAAATTTAAATGATCACTTAAAACCTGATGAAACTGTGTAAGTTTGACAGCATTGGCCAAAATTGTGCTTGCCAATTAACAAACTTTGGGTTGATACATGCTTTGAAAAGTAAAAATACAGTAAGGAACAGTATTCCTTTTGAAATGTAGAGAAAAAAGTGGTAACTACACGTTTATTTAACAACAGAAAGAAATAATTAGAAAATAGCTCAGAGTAATCATTAAAAAATATCCTCATAGGAAATTATATTATATCATGACCCAAAAGCGCAATACTTTGAGACTTTTGCTCTTAATTATTATAAAACTTTGAATATATAAAGATAATGTCATGATAACAACACTGGGAGCTCTTAGGTAGAATTATGTTCCTTTAAAACAGTGGTTCTCAACCTTTTTCAATCCGTGACCCCCTTTTGATTGTTTGGCAAGTGGAGCGACCCCTCATGCCCCAACCCCCAAATAAAGTATTTAAACTAAACCCTTTTAACCCCCCCC